TGTAGTCTGGATTAAATTGTTTCTTTGCAAACATAAATTGAGGTAATATATTTTTATGCTTTTTTTTCTTCTTCTTCTTTAAAACACCACCACCTCTTTTTGGTGTACTTTTGATAAGCTTTGAAATAATATTAGTGTATTTAGAATTTCTAGTTATGTTTACAGGTGCAGTTGGCATGTAATTTTTTCGATATGCATTTGTAGCATTGAGAATTTCTTTATAATTTTCCAAATCACCTGAACTTATTGTAGCTTCGTTAGGTTTCTTTTTAAATAAAAGTTCAAGTAATCCAGCAGTTTTCAAATAATTCTTCTTTCCAACGAGCTTAATATTTGAGCCTTCAAATTCAATCGGTGTATCACCAATTATGAAAGAACCGTCAGGAAGTTTACGTATTCCATAAACCATATCTAGAAATAGTTTTCGATTCTTATTTAACAATAAAATAAATTTATTTGTAAGCTTTTCGTAACTTTCTTCTTCATCCTTTTTTTCAACGTTATTGCTCTTATCAAGTAAAGTTTCATCTAGTAGAGTTGTATCAAACTCCTGTTCATCATCATCATCAATTGCAGTTGAAAAAGAGAAATCATTATCCTCTATCTTTTTTTTCAATTTTTATATTTTTGAAAGGTGTATCAGTTACATTTACCAATTTTTGAAGAGGTGTAACTATTGGTTGCAGAGTTTCCTTTAACATTGTCTCTGCAGCTTCTTTACCCATTTTCAGTAAACGATGTTTTCGTCTAATAGCATCACTTGCTTTTGCTATTTGACGGAGTGTTTCTTGCTCTTTTCGATACATGTTTTCATCTTGCGAACACAAACAATACTAATTTAATAATAAATAGAGAATTCGTATTTATAGTGTAATGAAGCAATCAAATCCTTTTCTATATCTCCCCTCATTAAAATTACTATCTTTATCAATAACAACAAATCCATATTTACTAGATTTCCAACATTCTGAACATAAATCTCGAAATTGAGTATAGGACATGTCTGTATTCACATGATCTTCATAGACATGTTTTAAATTTTTTTCATCTTGTCTAAAAAGCACCAGTAAGTTTACATTATCTCGCACTAGATGTTTTGGAATACGGGCATACGTTTGACACAAGTAGAAACTGTCGAAGTTTACATGCCTACCCATGCAAAAGAAAGCTCTAACATTGTCTTGCTTAGTCAACCGTATTATCAATAATTTACCATTTGAGTTACATTTACCTGGTTATCAATTTTGTGGACCTGGTACAAAGTTGGCAAAGCGATTATCTCGAGGTGATCAAGGAATTAATCCGTTAGACGCTGCATGCAAATCACATGACATTGCTTATTCACAAAATCGAGAAAATATTAAAGAAAGGAACAAAGCAGATAAAGTATTAGCTGAAAAGGCATGGGAACGTGTTACGGCTAGAGATTCTACTATAAGTAAAAAGGCAGCAGCTTTAGCAATATCTGGAACAATGAAAGCTAAATCGAAATTAGGTATGGGAATGAAGAGGAAGAAGAAGTCTTCAATTAAGAAGAAAAGAAAAACCATGTGTAAGAAAAAGAAAGTTGCACTAAGAAGAGTTGTTAATGCTGCCAGAAAAAATATGATGCCTAGTCATACTGCTGGAGAATCCATTAGAGCTGCTTTGATAGGTGCAAGAAAAGCAATAAAGAATGCTGGAGGAAGATCAAAAATCTTATCACCACGCATTCTTCCCGTACCTACTAAAGTTGGTGGTATTTTACCACTAGTTCCAATTTTTGCTGGACTAAGTGCATTGGGAGCTCTTGCTGGTGGAGCTTCAGGAATAATAAAAGCTGTAAATAAATCTAAAACAGCTAAGGAACAATTGGCTGAAGCTCACCGTCACAATAAAGCAATGGAGGAAATATCACTTGGAAAAGGATTACATTTGAAACCATACCGACAAGGACTTGGTCTGCATATTACACCCTTTATTCAAGGGAAAGGAGTGGCGAAGAAAAAGAATCGAACATCAAAGAAGAAAAAAAACTTGCATTGAAGCTACCTCGCCGTCCACTAACTGATTTTGATCTGATAAAGTATGCCAATACTGTAAAAATACCACATTTTCGTGGAGTTTTCATGCGAAATGAACTACCATTTAAAGGGCCTTATCGACATGAGTCAGGAATAATTAATTTAGATAATAAAGAAGGCCCAGGGACTAACTGGGTAGCATATAAAAAATGTAATAATAAAACAGTGTATTTTGATAGTTTTGGGAACCTTCCTCCACCAACAGATCTAATCACGTACTTGGGTGATGGTAGCTTAATAAAATATAATCATAAGAGATATCAAAATTATGATACATTTGTATGTGGACATTTTTGTTTAAAATTTTTATGTAAACAACTTAATATTAAGAGCAGCTTTAGTCTATATAAGAACATGTAACTTTTGTATTATTTTAGTATATAAACTGACCTCATCATGAGTGACTCGTTTACATTAACGTTGACGGGAAATTATTCAGTTCTTGAAGCTGAATATTTCCCACCAATAGAACTTAATCCAAATAAACATTATGTTCTTGGTCTTGTTGAATTACTGACTTTTAATTCTATTCCCAATATTGATAAAGGTAACAATAAATTTTACATTGGTAATCATGTAATTGATATACCAACTGGGAGTTATGAAATTAAAGATATTGAAACATGCATAAAAGATTCTCTGAAACTTGGAACTGTTATTAGTATAAAGCCTAATAACAATACATTACGCAGTTTAGTTGAATCAAATTTACCCATTGATTTTAAACATGAAGATTCAATTGGTAAATTATTGGGATTTACACCCCGAAAATTATCACCTAATGAAACACACACATCTGATTTACCTGTAGCTATTCTCAAGGTAAATTCAGTTAGAATTGAGTGTAACATTACATCTGGAGCGTATATAAATAATCAAAAAGTTCACACCATCCATGAATTCTTTCCAAGCGTTCCACCAGGATATAAGATTATGGAAGTGCCGGCACACGTCATTTACCTTCCGATTGTGGTCAAAACAATACATAATATTCAACTCCGCATTGTTGATCAGGATGGTGATTTGATTAATTTTCGAGGAGAAACTATAACAATTCGATTGCATATAAAATCAATATAATGGGAATCGTTTATAATCAAAAAGTTGGTGGTGGAAGTTATAAAAGTCAGCCAACATGCCAAAGAAAAATCAGTCTAAACTTGTCTCACAAGGAGTTAACACCTCAGAATCGCCTATTCTTGAAAAAGGTAGGCCTAAAAGTCATACCACAAGGAAAACGCCAAGACAAATAATCTATATATTTTTTGGGTGTTGTTGCAATAAAAATGGACGAAATTCTCAACATTCCAGCAGCAGTGAATTTTGTTGAGTCCATAGCTCATTATGAAATTCATGCTCATCAACCATATGCTTCATCATCTTTTAACAATAGTGATGAAATTCGGATTGCAGTTCAACATCAAGATTTATGTATTTTACCGAGTAAAAGTTCATTGCACATATGAGAGATTCTTTTTCAATCGCCCCAGCCCAAAAAGTCAATGTTCTGGGATTGGCTTCATACTTTGGTAAATTGTTGTCCTATATGATAGTAATAAATCCCTAAAATATAAATTAATTAAAAAAATATTTGTAGAAAGTAGAGGGGGTTGAAGTTTTGACGTTAAGGGTAACATTGTCATTTTCAAATCCGTTTAACTATGACAAAAGTTAATGGATTTTAATTTATCTATAATGAATTTTATTGCATTTTTCACGTACTTTTCAAAAATGTATACGAAATTTAAAAAAAAAATTTTTTAACCCCTTTTTTGTCAAAATCAACCCTTATTTTTCGATTTTCACCCCTTCGGGTATTTTTTTTTTTTTTTTTTTTATTTTCATTGGAAAGCTGAGGTTTTTTCCGATGAGCTATGTAAATATGAAAATGGGACAACAATAATTTTGTGAGAAACAGAATATTAAAGTAGGCGGTGCCGATAAGGGTGCCGTTAAGGGTAACATTGTCATTTTCAAATCTGTATAACTATGACAAAAGTTAATGGATTTTAATTTATCTATAATGAATTTTATTGCATTTTTCACGTACTTTTCAAAAATGTATACAAAATTTAAAAAAAAAAAATTTTGACCCCTTTTTTTTCAAAATCAACCCTTATTTTTCGATTTTCACCCCTTCGGGAATTTTTTTTTGTTTTTTTTTTATTTTCATTGGAAAGCTGAGGTTTTTTCCCATGAGCTATGTAAATATGAAAATGGGACAACAATAGTTTTGTGAGAAACAGAATATTAAATTAGGCGGTGCCTATCTAAATCCTCAAAGATGATCTCCAGGTACACCCCTTATCGGCACCGCCTACTTTAATATTCTGTTACTCACAAAATTATTGTTGTCCCATTTTCATATTTACATAGCTCATCGGAAAAAACCTCAGCTTTCCAATGAAAATAAAAAAAAAAAAAAAAAAAATACCCGAAGGGGTGAAAATCGAAAAATAAGGGTTGATTTTGACAAAAAAGGGGTTAAAAATTTTTTTTTTTAAATTTCATATACATTTTTGAAAAGTACGTGAAAAATGCAATAAAATTCATTATAGATAAATTAAAATCCATTAACTTTTGTCATAGTTAAACGGATTTGAAAATGACAATGTTACCCTTAACGTCAAAACTTCAACCCCCTCTACTTTCTACAAATATTTTTTTAATTAATTTATATTTTAGGGATTTATTACTATCATATAGGACAACAATTTACCAAAGTATGAAGCCAATCCCAGAACATTGACTTTTTGGGCTGGGGCGATTGAAAAAGAATCTCTCATATTTGGAAAATTAACTAAAAATGATGGCATTGCTGTTACGGAAAACGTACACTTGACTAGCAATGCAATATGTTTTTTATTTGATGAAGTTTGCTATGAATTAAATGGCATCGAGATTGATCGATGCAAATACGTTGGACATACAACTATTATGAAAAGTTTAGTATCTCTAACTCCACCGCAGCTGAATCTTATAGAAAATGCAGGGTTTTCAAAAATTGAAGCTGATGCAAGAATAACTTTAGAAAATGGATATTTTGATGTTACAATTACACTTAGCATGATTTTTGGCTTTGCCGAGGATTATAAGAAAATTCTTATGAACGCCAAACATGAACTTATTTTAACAAGAGCGCGTAATGACACTAATGCTATAATTCAAACAGGACAAGGAGCTGATGAAGAATTTAAAATTTTCATCAATAAACTAGAATGGATGATTCCATACATTTTACCTGCTGATAATAATAAAATAAAATTATTGAAATTCATCGAAAAAGACCCCTTAATTTCAATAAGTTTTCGATCATGGGAAATGTATGAATATCCTTTAGTTCCTACAAGTTCAAAAGTCCTATGGCAAATCAAAACTTCCACCCAATTGGAAAAACCACGATATGTAATTGTTGGATTTCAAACAGCGAGAAAAGATAAACGAAAAAAATATGCTTTTCATTTTGATCATTGTAATATTACAAACGTTAAACTCTTTTTAAACTCTCAGTATTATCCTTATGGTAATTTGAATCTAAACTTTGATCAAAATCAGTATGCTTTACTTTATGAAATGTATGCTAATTTTCAAACTTCTTACTATGGAAAAGATGCAAAACCTATATTAACAAAGAATATTTTTAAACAATTATTTCCTTTAATTGTTATCGATTGTTCAAAACAAAATGAGTTTTTGAAACAGGCATCAGTAGATGTACGATTAGAATTTGAATCAGGATATAACATGCCGGCTGAGACTACTGCATATTGCCCAATCATCCATGATCGCGTTGTACAATATAAACCAATCAGCGGCGTCGTTAAAAAGTTGCTATAGAGGAGAGGGGGTAATCTAAAAAGTGTTGGTGGGGGTATTATTGGTCTATAAATGCAGTACTTTCGGCCAGAAATTCAGTTTCTGTTTCAGGATGGAGTTCATCGTAGACGTTCAAGGTTTTAAAAGACCCTACAATGACTTTGTATTTAAAGAATTGGCAATACTTCCACTTCAGGCTGATGCTCAACCAATCGACTACCTATTTGAACCTCCGTGTAATTGGAATTCATTGCCAGGACGCTATAAAAGTGAAAATCTTTGGCTTACACATAATTACCATGGAATCGGATGGTCAGCTGGAGACGTTTCATACGATGAACTTCGTCCAATTCTACAAGATGTACTACGAGGTGCTAGTGTCATCTACGTTAAGGGCTTAGAGAAAAAAACGTGGCTCGAGAAGTATCTATTAAATGTACAAAATTTAGAAGACTTTGACTGTCCATCGTTAAAAAAAATTAAGTATCAAATGATAACTACATGTACTCATCATACGCTTCATAATGAAAACTGTGCTGTAAGAAATGTAAAAATTCTTCGTGATTGGTTTTTGGAACCTCTAAACCAATATATAAGTGTTGTTGCTAAAGGTATTGATGAAGTTGATTCTACGCTGAAAGCATTCTATGAAAATTGTGAATCTTTTTTGTAAAATTTGAAAAGTTATTTCAAAAATAAACAGTAACTTAAATTTACTTAATATCTCTTTTAATTTCAAAAACCCACCCTTAAATATAATTATTATTATTTTATAGCGCCTGAAAAATAAAACTTTTTCCTGAAAATAAATCTTAAAACTAATTGCTGAAAATAAAAACCATTTTTTCTGAAAATAAAAATAAAGTAATTTTGAAACCAATTTTTTTTTTTTTTTAGATAAAGTAATTTCTTTTTATTGAAGAAAAAAATCATAAATTAAAAATTCTTTTTACAAATAGTAATATAAAAAGGCATTAAAAATTATTTAAATTTGAATTCCATGGCGTTGTATGTTCCTCCCAAGTACTTCATGTACAACTTGTTTAAACTTGCTGCTTCTTGCATCATCTCCAGAGTGTTTGGCTCATCCTCGAAGAATTTCACAAATCTAGCTGGCAGGAAAGTGATAAATTCATTATTCACTTCAGTCATGATTCTTGATCCAAATCGTGTCTGTACTTTTGTAAGTTTATTGATCATGTAGCGACCCTTTGGAATCAAATCGGAAAGAGGCTTCGTTGGTAGAGTACATTCCATGCGTCCAACAGCATTTACTTTTTCTAAATCCATTTTATTTTTTGTTTTGTTTATTTGGTATGAACTAAAACAGAAAGATGAAGCAAAAAATATATATATTAAATGCTTTGAAAATCTTCAAGCAAATGCTGAAAATAAAATTATGAAAATAAAATCTGAAAGAAAATTATGAAAATAAAATCTGAAAATAAAATCTGAAAGCAAATGCTGAAAAGAAAACCTGAAAATAAATGCTGAAAATAAAATCTAAAAGCAAACGCTGAAAAGAAATTGCTGAAAATAAAGGATTTTGTAAGAAAGAGAGTTATACTTACTTGCGGAACCTGGAAGAGAGAATGACACATGTGACCTGGGAGTCGCCTTATATCACCATTGTACCCACTTTCATATCTCCCCACCTCTACTAAAATGCGCGCGCTCTCTTAATAGGTAATGAACATGCCCAAAACAGAAAGTCCCCACCCCCCCCCCCTTTACGGAAAAGTAACATAGAAAACACTTTTTTTATAGAAAAAATCATATATATATTTTTTTTATTTTATTGTAGTAAACATATTTTTACAATCATCATCACCAGCAGCTTGTTCGTAAGGTTGTAATAACTCCTGCAAATATTATTATCATTATTATTATTATTATTATTATTTTTTATTATTATTATTATTATTATTATTACCATTGTTATGACAATTATTGGGCTGACAATGAGAATGACATTGTCATCATCATCATCTTCATCATCCTCATCATCATTATAATCATAATCATAATCATCATCATCATCATCATAATCAAATTCATCATCATAAGATGTGAAACCATCACTATCGAACTCATCATCATCATCTTCACCGTCACAAATAAAAACAACTATTCTTTCCGCCCCATCATTTCTGTCATCATCATCATCGTCAAAGCGTGAATTTGAATATGATTTTTCCATTTTTTTTTGTAATCTAAAAAAAAAGAAATGACCTGTAATTTTAACTTCCTTAAATATAATATGCATAAAAGAAAATTTGAAAAGTTTGGACAATAAACAAAAAAGAACCTGGAAGAGGAAGCAAAAAAAAACAAACAAAGGAACCTGAAATAGAAACTGAAAATCTTAAAAATCTGGAAAAAATAAAATAAAAACCTGGAAGAGAAAGCAAAAAAAAAAAACAAAAGAACGTGAAATAGAAACTGAAAATCTTAAAAATCTGGAAAAATAAAATAAAAACCTGGAAGAGAAAGCAAAAAAAAAAAACAAAAGAACCTGAAATAGAAACAGAAAATCTGGAAAAATAAAATAAAAGTCTGGAAGAGAAAGCAAAAAAAAAACAAAAGAACCTGAAATAGAAACTGAAAATCTGGAAAAATAAAATAAAAACCTGGAAGAGAAGCTGAGGAATTCAAAACCTGGTAAAAAAAACTGGAAACAGAAAAAAAATCTGGAAAATAAACTAAAACGAAAACTTAGAAGAGAAGCTAAGGAATTCAAAACTTGGTAAATAAAAGAAAAAAGCTCAAAAATCTGGAAATATAAACAAAACTTGGAAAAGAAGCTCAAAAACTCAAAACCTTGACAAGAAGGTTAAAAACCAAAAGAACCTGGAAACAGCAAAGAAAAATCTGGAAATATAAACTAAAAACAAAACCTGGCAGAGAAGATCGAGAATTCAAAACCTGGAAAAGAAGGCAAAAGAATCTGGAAAAGAAACTGAAAAACAATGGAAAATGCTGAAAAATCTGAAAAAATAACAACAAAAAAAACCTGGAAGAGAAGCTGAAGAATTCAAACCGTGGAAAAAAGTTAAAAACAAAAAAACCTGAAAAACATAGAAGGAAAAGCTGAAAAATCTAGAAAATAAACTAAAAAAAAAACCTTGAAGAAAAAACTGAAAAAAATATAAATAATTTGTGTAGACATTTATTTTCACTGAAACAAGTTGTTTACCTCATTTCCTTATTATTTGTAAATATAAAAGCAATGGTTTGTATTAAAATTGAAATATTATTTTAAAGAAAATCATGGTGTTTAATTTCGATATCTTTTGTTGTTGTCGTTTCTTCTGTTATAAGAATTACTTGATGATTGATTTAAAATATCATCTGCAGAATCATCCGAAGAAGAATCATCTGAAACAGTTGGGGATGGGGTTGTAGGTGCTTCCGGTGACATGTCAATAATATCTGGAACGGATTCAAAAAGATCTGCAACCTTTAAAAGAAACATGTATTTTGGACAGTCAATAGATAAATTAATCAAAATTAATTAATTAAAAATATTTACCTCTTCTTGTGATATATTTATTATCAGGACGTTATTATCATCTTCATTAACAAGAATTACTTCATTATTATTATTATTATTATGAATATTTTGATTTTCATCATTGATAAGAATCTGATGATTGTTACTTGAGAGATTGCTCAAATAATTCTCATCTTCATCACTGCTCAAAATGATGGTACTAGCTTCGCTATCGTATCCATCAAAAACAGTGACATGATGATATTCACTGCTTTCATTCAGTGCATTATCGGAGCTAAAATTTTCCGCCTCCATTTGTCTGTAAAGAATATAAAGTTATAATTTATTATTATAACCAGTAAAAAGCTGAAACAAACAAAAAGAACTAAATTAATGCTGTACCTTTCAATGCTCTGTCAGTTTCACGATCTGATGGTGTAATGCTTAATGTAAGCTGCGGTCCCCACTCGAACGTAGTTTCTCCTTCTCTGTGCACTCTCCCTACCAGAGACTACTTAGGTCCCGCCCACCCAAGTCAAATGTCTCTGCTGTATCATTCTCTCTCTCTCTTTTTTTGATTTTAGAAATTATATTAAATATAAAGAAAATAAACTCACAATAAAAATAAATATTAACTTTATTATTATTATTAGTATTATTATTCAAAAAACTATACATGTTTTTTTCACTTTAAATAACTTTTTAGGTTAGTATCACGATTTCTTAAATATATAAAAATACATGCTGTCCCTTACAAAATTAAACACATTTGGAAATAATATTAGCATATAAAATAAAAAAAAATTTGAGAAATCTGAAACACACGTTGTTTTTTTTTTCACTTTTAAGATAAATCACGTTTCTAAGTAACACAAATCGCAGACAAACTATGTTTACATTACTTACTTTTAAGTAATAAATTTCTACGCATTGTTTTTAAAGTTAAATTAGTATCACGATTTCTTAAATATACAAAAACACATGCTGTCCTTTACAAAATTAAACACAATTGGAAATAATATTAGCACATAAAGAAATAAAAAAAATTTGACAACAAAAAGAATTTCTTTTAAAAATAATGCACATAAGAACATTTTCTTCTTTGTTTTTAGGTTAATCGCCTTTGTAAACGAAACATAATCGACACGTCTTAATGTGACAAATTATGAAGAACGTTTTCATTTGTTCAATAATCACAATTGAAATACCTTGATTAATATAATTAACACTGTTTTTGGAACATATTTAAAACTGTTCTTCGAATATTTTTTATAAAATAATTTTTACTTTCTCAAATTACTATAATTCTCATAGTTTTCTTTGTCACTTCCAGAGTTGTCATCTTTTTCGGAAGAATGTTTTTTGCTATTGTCCTCTATTTTTTCTTGACTTTGAATATCATTCTTCAACGTTTCTATGCACTCTTGCATGACTTCCTCTAAAATAAGTGGAGATCCTGGTGGTGTCCAATCCATAAAAGCTGGTTCGTAAGGACTGGGAGGCTGAAAATTCAGAACTCCACTCTGTTCCAAATCCATTACTTGGGGATTATGGCTTTCTTCTGTACGATTATTAAAATAACTGGTAGATCCTTGTGAAATAAATTCCGTGTAAAAATTACGCTGTTCTATTAAATCAAATAAAGAACTTTCAAATTCTTGTTGTACAAAAGGTTGGGCACTTTGATCAATAAGATTGGAAAAATCTAAGTTTTTTTCTGGTGCACAATCCACGGGAATTACATTTGAAGCATTTTTATCTTCATTTAAAAAGTGATTTATAAACTCTTCGGATATGTCTGTTAAATCATCGTTTACATTTGGTGCATCCCTACTTGGAATGAACCGGAATGTGCTTGTAATTGAAGGCTTTTTTGGGATTACACGAGGTTTATCCCATCTAGTGAATCGAAAACAGCTTTCTTTTTCTGGTCTTGCTCACTGATATATAAAAAAAGGGTAAAAGTTTTAAAAATTATTTATAGGTTATTTTAAATAAGTACAATAACAACATTTTTTTCATTTAACTCGATTAAAGTAAGATTAATTCATTGGGATAAATATAAAAAGAATTTTACATACCATTAAACTAGGAATTGGAAGATCCATGACATCCCGTGGTCTATTCATTATGCGATTTTTATCTCGAGGATCTTCAGGTGTCAACTCGTCTGCTGATAAAACTTGTGATGAAGAATCGTTATCCTAGAAATATTAATGACATAAATTATATTTTCATATTTTTATATATATAACAAAAAAATATGGTGATCTCTACGGAAGCTTCCATGCGCCACCATGCCGTCTCACTCGTGTTGTGAGGCACCCTAAGAGGAACAGGCCTGTTCGTGTGTTCCTCGGTGCGTTCCTCGCAGTGTTCCTCGCAGTGTTCCTGATTGCATTGAATTTCATTGTAGAAACAGAATGAAAACTTTGATTTATTTATTATTTTAATCATGAAAATTTGAATAAACGTAATTAAAATTGATATTAATAATTAATTACTTATTAATTAGATAATTAGGATATATAATTTCAATTATATCAACTTGTGAAAAGTCAAAATTTTTATTATTTACAATCATCATGAAATTTAAATTATTTAAATTTTTATTAATCTAATTAAGTATAAAAATTATATTGTTTCATTTGTATTGTTTTAAGTCTTTTGTTATTAGATCACATTATTATATAGAGCGCTGGAAAAATTCATAAAATTTATAGTTCAATACATTGACATAACCTCAAACTAAATTATTTTTATTTACAATTATTTTTGACAAATAATAATTATTTTATAATTATAATCTAGATAATTTATTATTCAAATTTGTTTAAAAAATTTTTTATTATAATTGTCAAAATTTTTATACAATTTATTATCCTTTACTGTTATTGTTAATTTTAAATAGGACATATATTAGCTTGAATCTAAAAGTCATTATGTTTTATAAATAATTCATTACAATTTTTTCAATATTTATCTAAATTAACTTTAGTATGTGTCACTTAACAAAATCAAACAAAAAGAATAATAAAAAATATTTTAAAGCGATTTAAATTTATCATTCTTTTTAATTAAGAGAAAGGGAATAGTATTAAATAATCGTTAATTTACTAAAAGTAATCTTTCTTGTCTTTTATTAATACAAGTTACATATTTATGTCAAATGGACATTCAAGAAAAAAAATTATTGTACAATAATTTAATCGTTCGACTAATGGTAGCGTCAGCAGGATTCATCTGAAAATTAATATTATTCATAAATCAAGAGGTTATATATGTAATATTAAATATTAAAGGGATTTAAATATTTTAAAACCTTTTAGTTAATGTAAGTAACATAAAAATATAAATTGTATAAATTGGTACTTAATTAAAAAAATAGATTACTTTCAGTAAATTAATGATTATTTAATATTATTACCTTTCTGTCAATTAAAAAAGTGATGCATTTAAATTGCTTTAAAATTTTTTTATTATTATTTTTCTTAGATTTTGTTAAGTAATACATACTACAGGTAATATTTTGATAAATAATAAGATAAATAATAAAATTGTACTGCATTATTTATAAAAGCGATAATAATTTTTGCATTTAAGCTGTATAATGTTATAATATAAAGATTCTACTTCAAATTTATAATAATAATAAAGCATAATAAATTTTATACAAAATTTTGACAATTTTATTAAAAACTTGAATAACACATTATCTATAGGTTGTAATTATAAAATAATTATTTATCAATAATAATTGTAAATAAAAGTAAATTAGTTTGAGGTAATTTGATACAATTTAAATTATAATTATTAATTATCTAATCAGTCAAGAAATTAATTATTAATATCAATTTTACTTACGTTTATTCAAATATCATGAATAAAATACAAAATAAATAACTATTATTTGTCAAAAATAATTGTAAATAAAAATAATTTAGTTTGAGGTTATGTCAATGTATTGAACTATAAATTTTATGAATTTTTCCAGCGCTCTATATAATAATGTGATCTAATAACAAAAGACTTAAAACAATACAAATGAAACAATATAATTTTTATACTTAATTAGATTAATAAAAATTTAAATAATTTAAATTTCATGATGATTGTAAATAATAAAAATTTTGACTTTTCACAAGTTGATATAATTGAAATTATATATCCTAATTATCTAATTAATAAGTAATTAATTATTAATATCAATTTTAATTACGTTTATTCAAATTTTCATGATTAAAATAATAAATAAATCAAAGTTTTCATTCTGTTTCTACAATGAAATTCAATGCAATCAGGAACACTGCGAGGAACACTGCGAGGAACGCACCGAGGAACACACGAACAGGCCTGTTCCTCTTAGGGTGCCTCATAACACGAGTGAGACGGCATGGTGGCGCATAGAAGCTTCCGTAGATCTCACTGATTTTGACTTACCATTTTATTAGTTAAATGAACACAAGAGCACTTAACGTTTCAAAATAAAGTTTAAACACTCAGATTAAATTACAGCTGAGAATAACTTTAATTTCTATCCACGGTTTAAATACGTATTCTAAATGGTTGAAGCCCTTTCCATAGAAAATGTATTCTATTAGATTTTCTTTCTATACACTAGAAGGCGTTCACTCTCTATGAGCAGGCGTACTCCGGAACATGTGAAATGTGACATTAAAGGTGCTTGCACACCACTCGTGGATAGATGGTTACTCGAAGTGTGCAAACACTATAATGTCATAATTCACGTCAAAGGAATCAAGCAATGAGCATGTGTGTGCAATGCTTGGAGAGAACAAAAAAGTAGTATAGTAAGACAAATATATTTATATCTGTCGTTTTCTAACGCTTGCATCTCATTCGCGAAGTTATTGTGCGTTGACCCATAGGTTTGTCTACTTGTGATTGATTCTAATTGAAGAATTGCGATTTCATTAAGGTCTTCACACAATATGTTTAAGAAAGTCGTTACATTTACAAAGTAATTACATTGAGTATCAACGTATAATAAATTTGTGAGTGTCGTTTATAAGAAATAAAAAGAGACAAATATATTTATATCTGTCGTTTTCTAACGCTTGCATCTCATTCGCGAGGTTATTGTGCGTTGACCCATAGGTTTGTCTACTTATGATTGACTCTAATTGAAGAATTGCGATTTCATTAAGGTCTTCACACAATATGTTTAAGTCCTTTCACTTTTAAAGTAAGTATATTTCAATTCAAGAATCTACCTTAAAATATTAATTCAAGATCTATACACAACAGAATTAAAAACTTTCACATAAGATAGAAAAGGATGGAAGAAATATCTGTTCTTTTAAATCTTATATAAGAGTTTACCATTTATATTGTGTATTGGCTCTTGCTCAACTTGTGAATAAATTTTTTATTGAGGGTCATGTTAGGATATCATTTTGTCTTTTTGTGTTAAAATAAGTGAAAAGACTGTAGTAGTGAAACAAACAACTGTAAATGTAAGAAAGTACTTAACCCCATTATTGACATGCATAATTTGAAAAGTCCCCTTCAGCAAACGACTTTTAATCGGTTGATAAATTAAGTAGCGCCATCTAGTGCTGGCAGCCGGTACTTACTCAGTAGGGGAATTCGGTGGGAAATTTAAAAAGTAAAAAGCGCCATCTATCGGTGGCAGCCTAAACTAACATGCTCAGAGAATTCGGTGGGAAATTTAAAAATTAAGTGGCGCCATCTATTGGTGGTAGCCCGAACTAACATGCTCAGGGAATTCGGGGAGAAATTTAAAAATTAAGTGGCGCCATCTATCGGTGGCAGCCCAAACTAACTCAGTCGATAAAATAGATTTTTAAATTTCCAAGCGACTTTAACTTTACCGACAAAATAAAGTGGCGCCATCTAGCGACAACCTTTGGAACTAACTAGTGGTGCCATCTAGCGGTGGCGCTCCGAACTACCTCCGTCGGTAAAGTAGAGTTCTACATTACCTGCTCGGTCGGTAACTGGGGTCGTAGCCCCCTTACTATACTACTAGCCTCAATCCATCGTCAGCATTGGTTTTTCTCGCCTGGGATTCGTTTAATGACAACATAACCTCACTTTTCGCACAACATGCTTTCTACTACGCTAGTGTAAAGAGCTTCTGCTCAATAACGAGAGCGACAACTTCCAAACGTCACGCGCAACTATAGCAGACGTTTCACAATACATAAAATACCAAAAAGTAAACAAACATTGTTTAATAAATTGTGAGTTGAATATTTCCCCGTACATTACGTTTCTTGTGCGGTATTAAAGCGTGAAAAATAAGGAAAATTTTGATCTTAAAACAATTTATTTAGAGTTGTAGGAAAAAAGTGAATTTTTTGCATTATTTATTGTTGTATTTTTTAAATAAACAATTGTTTTTACTTAAAAAGTGATTATTTTGGACCTTTATATTAACAAATATTATAAAAAAAATGTTTCATTGAATTTGGAAAGGTTACTCCGAAAAGTGCTAAAAAACTCATGGAATGGCACATATATATATTGTAAATAAAAATTTCAAATTAAAATAAAAAATTTAAATAAACAAATTTAAAAATAAAATAGTTTTTAAAAATCAAACGAATTATTTAAATTTGTACCTTTTAAAAAAAGTTAAAGTGTGTCAAAAAATTTAATTCTCGAAAATTCGTATTTTTCCATCACGGTTACATATGATGTGAAAACTATTTTTTAATGAGATAAAAATTCTGAACGTTCAAATGAGCGAAGGATTTTTTTCAGTATATAAATTATGATGGCAATGTAAATTCAAACAGTAAAGTAAACAATTATTAAATTAATAACTTCTTTTTAGATATTTAAAACAATATTTATAACAGATAGGAATTGAGAGTAAGCACGTAATGCAAATCGCGCTTTTCTATTAAAATCTGCCCCCTCGCGGTAAAAATATCGAAGCTTAGGTGGTTAACTATATATATATTGCTTTAATCGGTGAGGCTACACACATACGCATAATGTAATGGCTAAGTCGAATGACGTTCGGAATTGATCGGGCGGGCTCGTGTATCTTTGCGTGAATTAGAGAAACAAACTGAAAACGAACCGTGCGTGCGGGCCTCATTCAATGTTTTGACTTTTTTCAGATTTCATTATCGGCCAATATTTTTAAGGTTAAATTTTTATTAAATTTAGAATTATAAATGTTCTCTCGTCGAATATATACTTCACTAAGTACAAAATTCGTTTTCAAAAAATCATATCATAATTATTATAAATTTTTAATTAAATTTTTTTTCTTAAACATATGGGTGATTTGGATATGATTTAAAAAAAAAATTTACCTGGAAATACTAAGATTTTGCAAAAAAATTAGAGAGGCGGTAAGTTTTATAGGTTTAAATAAACATTTAAACACTGCGCGCAGCATTGTGCACATTTGTGAAAAATAAAAAAAATTGTTAAATTGTTAAAAAAAATTTTTTCATTTTTCATTGTGGAATAATTTTTTTAATAATTTTTAACAATTTTTTCTACTATTCAGAAATGTGCACAATGCTGCGCGGATGGTGTTTAAATATTTATTTTAACCTATAAAACTTATTAACCCACTCTACATTTTTTGCTTCATCTTCTTATTATTTCCAGGTATGTTTTAAAAAAAATCACATCCAAATTAAAAAAAACTTAATTTGTTTAAAAAAAATTGTAATTTTTTTAATAAAAAATGAAAAAAAATTTTTTGTTAACATTATTCAAAACAAATTGAAAAAATCTAATTTTTTCGAGTTATCAGCCATTGAATATAGGTCTACATTTACAAAACTGAAATTTTGAAAATACATATCACGAAAATTTGAACAAGAAAAAAAATATAATTTAAAGGGTCCAATGAAATATCACGTTAAGGGGGTAGTCTGGTGTTTAGGCCTTTCTTTTAGGAGCTTATTTCAGAATTTATTTTTATTATAAAATAAAATGTAATCACACCAAATCTTTTTACAACGTTTTATTCTCCTTATGAAGTGTTGAAAAAAATTATAATCGAATATTTTTTACTAGACATTGTTATTTATATTTAATATTAATGTTTATATAAAAAAAATGCTGGCGCAGGTGATTTACAAAAATCTGTTCGACCGATTGCTCCAATTTTTTTTAGCTTATTTTACAGAAGTATGGCTGTAGCCCGTACTAGAATTACGCATTTTTAATGATAACTTTTTTTTATTTTTAATTTTTAGTCAATAAAAAAGAGACAATTTTTGAATCTTTTTGCTTATATAGTCCGCTATTTTGTTATTTATTAACAAAAATGTTTTATTCTAGTACGGGCCAGAGCCATGCTTGTGTAGAATAAGCTGTAAAAAAATTGGAGCAATCGGTCGGATAGATTTTTATAAATCATCTGCGCCAGCATTTTTTTGTTATAAACATTAATATTAAATATAAATAACAAAATCTAGTAAAAAATAATCGATTATAATTTTTTTCAACACTTCATGATTAGAATAAAACGAAGTAAAAAGATTTGGTGTGATTATATTTTATTTTATAATAAAAAAAATCCTGAAATAAGCTCCCAAAAAGGCATCGTAACACCAGACTACCCCCTTAAATCACCCATATATAAAAGTTCATGATTTTTTTTAACAGAAAAAAATATATTAATAACCACTGTAAAATAAAATTGTTATTAATAAATTGTTTAAAATTATAATTTTTATAAATATTATCTTTATTTATTTAATTTAGTTAAAACATAAATAATAATGTGAAAGTAAACACAATAGAAAATTCGATACAAATTAATAATGTATTAAATTGTAGGTAATTTTAATAGGTACTGACAACAATGCTTACAATTTAATTTTAAAGAATATTCTCATTTTATTTAAAATTAACTCATTTTTTTATTTGGACAAGCCCACGTAAAAGTTACAGTTCAAAATTTAATTTCGGGTTGATATATTTGCTATTTTTTATTATTAAAAAATATCATATAGGTACTTACATATTTTTTATTTTCAAATTTTATAAATTTTGGTTTTGTAAATACATATTTATGTAGGTATTTTAAATTGCTTATATCTTTTAAAAAAATTAAATTTAGAAAAATTTTGTCGAAAGATTAATTTTTCTTTAACTTCAAAAAAAAAATATATATATATATATATTATAAAAATTGTATAGATATAAGTTTTTAAATAAAAACATTGTTTTTATTAATAAATTAATTATTTTTACATGTAGGCCCGATAAAAGAATTAATAATAATTATAACAAAAAATTATAATTATAAAAATTATATTATAAAATTTATAATTATAATAAATTAATTAAAAAAATTAATAACAATCAAAATAAAAACTTTTTTTCCGGCCTAATGTAAAAATAATTAAGTAATTAATTTACAAAATCAATTTTTCTGATTTAAAAAAACCTAAAAAATATTTTTTAAAATTGATTATTTTAGCTACTTATAATGTGTAAAGATTTACAAATAGAAAATTTAAAAAATTTGAAAGTTTAATGTAAGAAAATGATATTTTTGATACACTATTAAATAGACATCAAAAATTAACTCAATTTTAAATAAAATGAGAACATTCTTAAAAATTAAATTGTAAACATTGTTGTCAGTATTAAAATTTTTAAATTCTAAAATATGTGATTTTATTATAATATTACAAAGAATATTATTTTTCAAAATTTTTTACGGCATAATGATAAAAAGAATTTGATTTTTCTTATGACTTTGACAAAAGCACATTATTTTAAATTAAATAAATAAAGATAATATTTATAAAAATTATAATTTTAAACAATTTATCAATAATAATTTTATTTTACAGCGGTTATTAAATATTTGTTTTATTTTAAATTAATTATTATAAATTAATAATTATGATAAGATTTTTTGAAAGCGAATTTTGTACTTATTGAAGTATATATTCGACGAGAGAACATTTATAATTCTAAATTTAATAAAAATTTAACCTTAAAAATATTGGCCGATAATGAAATCTGAAAAAAAATCAAAACATTGAATGAGGCCCGCACGCACGGTTCGTTTTCAGTTTGTTTTTCTAATTCACGCAAAGATACACGAGCCCGCCCGATCAATTCCGAACGTCATTCGGCTTAGCAATTACATTATGCTTATGTGTGTAGCCTCACCGATTTAAGCAATATATATAGCTAACCACCTAAGCTTCGATATTTTGAAAAAAAAATTTCTTTCATTTGAACGTTCAAAACTTTTGGCATATATTTTAAGATCAGCAAATTAATTGCAGTTGTAAAAATTTAAATATAAACAAGTCTGTTAAATTTTTAATTTTTTTAATTGTAAAATAAAACTGTGGTTTAAATAATAAGAATTTCGTTATGTCATGTCATATTTGTACTGCTTTCTATCAGAGTCAAATAAAGTGAAAATTTTTAGACTTGAAAGCTGGAAATTTTTTTTTATTTATCAAACGAAATATAAAAAAGTGAACAGAATAATGTGATTTTAGAAAAGAACGTATACTTTGTCATTATTCCACGTCATTTCAATTAAACATATGTAAAAATAATTTTTTTAAGATCAGCAAATTGATTTTAAAAAATAGAATCCACAAAGAATAAAATTTGGATCAGAATTAATAAGTTTTTTAAACTCAAAAATGAAAAAAATATACTAAATTTTAGTTAAAAAAAGAACTTGTTAAAGAAATTTAAAAGAAATACTAAACTTTTGTTGTTTCAATCAGAAAAAAAATTGTAAAAAAAAGATTCCTAGAAGTCATATTTTTTTCTCGATTTTTTATTTAGTCACAAAAAGTAAAAATCTAAATATAATTTGTTTGAGATCAGAATTAGGAATTACTGTTTTGAAATGCAGGATGAAAAAAAAATTTTCCAACTTTTCATTTTCCTAACCTAAAAATAGATGTTGTATGAATAAAAATATAATTTCAAAAAAATTTTTCATTTTCTCATTTTTTTATTCAAGTGATCAAAATAAAGCGGTAAAGCTAATTTTGTAAATAAAATTCTGAATGTCTAAATTATTTTCACTGAAACCTAAAAATGTGGAATAAAAATTTAATTTCCGAAAAATCGTGTCTTTAATAATTTTTTCATCCTTGTCACCACAATGAAAATATAAACATACTTTTTAGTGGAAGTTCAAAAATTTTACAGCTGCTGAAAAACCAATTCTAAATTACTGTTTTAAAGTTTTGATTTTTTTGACCAAAAAATTAATATGTATGAAGAAACAAAATTAAATAGCAAAAATTTATTTTGCTGTTTAAGAAAACTAAATATAAAATTGATTTAAAGTTTTAAAAAACTGAATTTTTGTACCATTTTTATAAACTGAGGACTTTTAATAAAAATTACATGACTACACTTTTCCCTTATTTTTCCGACTCGTGGAAACCGCCTGTTGTAATATGTTTAAAATAATTTTTTATACCTCACTCTAGTCTGTAATCAAGGAAACAAATAATTAAATTGTCTTACCTTGCTCTTGCTGCTTTTGTTTTAGACAGCCTCCTGCCGCTGGTCCTGTAAGTTCCACTTTTCCTCTTGTTCCATGTGTTTAGTATCTCTTTATTATCCTGTTGTTTGTTGTTGTCTCCCTGTTGTTTATTTTTGTTGTCCTCCTCTGCTTTTTTCAAGTTATCCATTTCTCTGATTTAATTACACTTTAAACACTTAACCAAAAAATCTCCTGTCTTTCCGTCGCGCCACTTTTCACCATTCACGTTCACAAAAAAAATTTTTAAAAAATAGTTTTCCACAATTCACACAAAAAAATAGTTTGTCACAATAGTGTTCAAATAATATAATAATATGGGTTTCGATTTCAAAATTCACGATCAGTCCTTCAACCGTAACCCGAGCTTTTTGCCTGTCTAAACAAGCACGCGTCCGTTTCATCAACGGTTTTTTCTTAGTAAAGACCGAGAATGCGTACTCACACACCTACAAGCGCTCTTGTCGCTGCAAAAGAAAACTAGCCGCTGCGTTACCAAATAAAACTACTCAGTAACAGGCTGACTATAAACTGAGCGATACTACTTGGTCGTTATTAATATGGAAGCAAACAAAAAAAAAGCTCGACATGCAAGGAGAGAAAAATCTGCCTTTTATAGTATGAAATAGATTGCTGCTATTTTTCTTTAAACTTTTCATACTAATAGAGCAAAGATTTGAGAATTTTTAGGATAGTATTTGTCCGTACTAAAAAAGCATAGTATATATGCTTCTATAGTACAAAACATGTAGTTTAATAGCAACAACGCCATGCGAAGATCGCACATAACATCATCCTACTATGTTTGCATAAGTTCTATGCTTTTTCGGGGATAGACTCTTGCAACTGGCGATTAGGCCACGCCCACCTTTACTGAATTGGAACTGCCCTAATCGCCAGTTACAAGAGTCTATCCCCGAAAAAGCATAGAACTTATGCAAACATAGTAGGATGATGTTATGTGCGATCTTCGCATGGCGCCGTTGGATTAAAAGTATAATAAGTATGTAATAAGAGGCTATATGACAAACTTTATTAGCATAGACAAGTTTCATGCTAAAAAGACATACGATTGTACTATAATTACTCAAATTTCATGTCTATATAGCATAGAAAATTTCTGTGCATTAAATGTAAACCTTTCTATACTATAAAAGGCAGATTTTTCTCTCCGTGTGATAAGCGTAAAATTATTCACAAAATTTGTATTTCTTCCTTTTTCAGGTGCACTTTTTAAATCCAGTCGCTGTAAATGCATCATTAACATTTTTATATTTAACTATTTTAACGGTAAAGAACACCACTTTCTCATAACTGAGAAAAATTTCTTTATTTATGTGATTATAATGAAAAAAAATCGAATATTGATTACTTCGCATTAGAGAAAACACTTTTTTAGACTCATTATTTTTTAGTATAATAGAGAAAAACGCGTTTCAATAGTGCCCTGCACCTAAATAAATAGTTTAATAGGAAAATCATAACTGCCGTAATTTTTGTCAAATAAAAAAATTAAAAAATATGTATTTACTTATTTTCCATGTAGAAATCTAAAAAAATCGTTTCAACCAAAACAAAATGTTGAGGGAAAGTTTTACAGAGAATGCCCCATACATACTCTGTGGTGTATTTAAACAATGTTTTAAATAAAAAAAATTACTTCTGCAAGGGCTCGAACTCAAGTCCTTGACAATTCTAGCCATTTGTATAAACCACTCGACCACTAAAACACTGTTAGTAGAAGTTCTTTTCCTCAGAGACAATTATGATAAATTTTTATGAAATTGAAAAAAAAGAATACTCGTGTTAAATGAAAGAAATAAAATATGCGACATTTCACGTAAGGCGGCAATATTTCAAAACTTTTAAATTCCAATAAATGAAAATACATTAACCCTTTCATGGCCAGTGGGACACATACGTCCCACCTACTTCAAAAAATCATAACTTTCTTAAAACTTAATCGATTAACTCCACTAAGATCTCATTTTGAAGGGGAGGGATAGAGTAACAAATGTAAATACATGTATTTTTTTAAAAAACTACCCTCTTTGAAATACACCCCTTCAAAAAACCCGAAAAATGAGAAAAATGAAAAAACAGGTATAAATTTCAGAAGAAATTTTTTTTTCAGGCTTTCATAGTAACATATGTTTAAAAATATTGCAACCTTTGTAAAAAAAAATTAATATTAAAAATTCAACCCGAGGGTGCAGAAAAATAACTAAAACTACCCCTAAAAACCAAAACCTTTAAAAATTAATAAATTCGCTTGAAAATTGTTACTTGGGGGTTTTCGGGGTCGCTGATTACGAATCCGATGTCCGTTTTCAAAAATTCAAAATGGCGGATCCAAAATGGCGACCGATAATTATAAAAAATTACTAGATTCGCGTGAAACTTATCACTCGGGGGTTTTCGGGGTCGCTGATTACGAATCCGATGTCCGTTTTCAAAAATTCAAAATGGCGGAACCAAAATGGCGACCGATAATTATAAAAATGTACTACATTCGCGTGAAACTTATCACTCGGGGGTTTTCGGGGTCGCTGATTACGAATCCGATGTCCGTCTTTAAGAATTCAAAATGGCGGATCCAATATGGCGACCGATAAATATAAAAATTCACTAGATTCATGTGAAACTTGTCACTTGGGGGGTTTTCGGGGTCGCTGATTACGAATCCGATATCAGATTTAGAAAATTGAAAATGGCGGATCCAATATGGCGGACGAAATGATTAACTTTCATTAGATTCATCTGAAACTTATTACTCAGGGGTTTTCGGGGTCGATAATTACGAATATGATGTCAGTTTTTAAAATTGCAAAATAATGCTGGTGTCATTATTGCCTATTAATTTTGTAGCTTTTAGTGCCTGTTGTTAGGAGTTTAGTATGAAAATGAAAATTACAGACCCAGGCTCAATCGGTGAGGTAGTGGGAGAACGCTACACAGAGAAAACGAAACGACGCGCTGATTGCCTTATAACAGCAGTTCCACATGGGAGCTTCTTTGCTACTGTCGTACCCCCCCCCTTTCATTTACCCAATGCACTCCCCTCTACGCCATCGTGGAGGGGAGTGCATTGAGTATGTACTCAATGCATTACTCAATATGATAATAATCAGTGAAAATTATTTTTTTGATTGTTGAAAACTGAATCCAGTATCTTATAACTTATGAATTAGGGGTGGATTTCAAGGGTAGGGGGTGAGTTTATTATTATTATCCATATCTGTGAAACATTGAAATACTTTTTTACAATTCAGAAGCACTTAGAATCCATATAATTTTTTTCATTTATTCACAAAAACATTTATCATTAAGGGGTGGTTATTTGACTTAAGGGTTGTTTTTCAGGGGTTGTTTATATTCAGTATTAATACGTTATCATAGAAAATTTTTTTTTCATATTTTCGAAAATCAGTGAAAATTATTTTTTTGATTGTTCCAAACTGAGAATAGTTATGAATTAGGGGTGGGCTTCAAGGGTAGGGGGTGAGTTTATTATTATTATTATCTATGTCTGTATAACTTTCAAATAATTGTTTATAATTTAGAAGCAATTAGAATCTATAGATTTTTTTTAATCATTTACAAAAACTTTCACCGTCAAGGGATGATTATTTGACTTTAAGGGTGTTTTCAAGGGGTTATTGATCCTTTTCAATTTTTAAGCAACCAGGCAATGTTTATAAATAAATAAAAAGTAGATAAGAGCTGAAAAATATTTAATTCATCAATTTGGTTAAATATCAGTTTTTTGGGGTAGTAATGTACCGTGGGGGTGGTTTTAAGGGGTGAGACATGTTAAAAAAAATTTTTTTCTCATACTGAATACTTTAGTAATTAAATCTAATATACATTATAAGTCTAAAGTAACGACAAAAAACTCGGCCATTAAAGGGTTAATTAATTAATCCAAGAAAGAAAAATATTTGACGTTTTTGTAATAAAATTTATTTTATTTCACGTTATAGTAATTATTTTTATTTTTAAGATTAAATTAATTTTCAGTCTAGAAATATTAACTGAATATTTTTAATAATTTTTCGAAAATTAATACCATAACGTTAAATATGATTAATTTTACTATTAAAACGTTGTCCATTTCATTTAGGATGCCCTATATACTATATTAATTTAATTAGTAAAATTTGCGTATTTTATGACATATTTTATACCTATTAATTAATTATTTTTAACTAAAATTCAAAGTTAAAGAAAATGAGGATCATTCAGGTGCTTCAATTAATACAGCCCTGATGTTTGTTTTCGTTTTGGAACGAAAAGGGCAAAAAGCAAAATATAGATATACATATATCTATATCGAGAAAATTTGTCACGTAGACACAAGTATTCTTGCGTCATGCGCCGCGGATTGGCTGCTGACCCACGAGTTTTGACTCCTATTGGTGGAAGAAAATATTTTTACAACTCTCGCTCGGTTTCAACCATCACTCTTGTCTACAGTTCTTCACTTATCGTCAGTCATCTTTCAGCGATTTGCATTTGGAGGTGAATAGTTTTGTGTTCTCAACAACGTTTAATTGCGGTAAGTATAATCAAGGAGTTTAGCGCAATTTAAATGCATCTATTAAATTAATTTATATTAGTCACACATTTTTTTTGCATATTAATAGTGTGGAAGGGAAATATATATGGCCAATCCTGGCAAAGGAGGAAGAGGAACCAAAAAATCGGCTGCAGTCGCCAAGAGGGAAAAGAAAACAATCGCGAAGCCGAAAGCATCACCAAAGAAAACAACGAGAACAAGGGTAATTTTAATTTCAATTGTTGTTTAATTTTATTTTATTTATTATTTTAATTTAATTTATTTTAACTTTCCGTTGATTTTAATAGATCTTTATTTTTACTGAATTTGATTTAATTGATATTTAACTTTATTTAATTATTTATGAATGAAAAAAAAGTTTTTTCTTGCAAATATTTTAGGAAAAATCGCCTTTATCCGAAAAATTGTATAATCATACAATTTTGTACAAAAATTATTTTTTTGATTCTTTCTTTATAAGTAATTAATAATCACTAAAATAGAATAACAGTAAATTCACATTTTCAGAAATTGATTGAAGTAAAAAAAAATGTATTTTTCTAGACTGTCCAATTTTTTTTTTTTAAATTTTTTCGTATAGTTAAACAGTTTTTGAAAAAATTCGAATATTTGTTAAACAAGGAGGGGGTCCTTTATGTTTATTTCATAAACATTATGCTTCCTCATTTTGTGAAGCAAAAAATTCGCTTCCTCGTGAAGGAAGCAATGAATTTGTCCAATTCAATTGATTGATTTAAAAAATTTCGAGTTAAAAATGTTTTAAATTAATTAAATTTTTTGAAAAATAAAGAAAATTTTAATTAATTTTGAGTGTAACATAAACTTCATATATACGAATCGATTCGTTTTAATGCAAGGAATACAATTATTTTATTCATCAACTTGAATTTTAAAAAAACACAAAATTTTTTAGCTAAAATATGAATTTTCGATTTTTCAATTTTTATTAATTCTCAAATTTTAAATCAAATCTATACTTTATATATACCAATCAATTCGTTTCAATGCAGGGAATAAAATTATTTCATATATAAACATGAATTTAAATAAACACATCATTTTTTAGCTAAAATGAGAATTTTTGATTTTTTAACTTTCATTAATTCTTTAAATTTCAATCAAATCTATACTTTATATATATCAATCGATTCATCTTGACATAAAGAAGACGATTACATTATATATTACCTTAAATTTTTCGATTTAAAAATTTTTTCAATTAAAAAAAAATTTTTGGAAAAAAGACGATAAAATTTTTTTTTTGGGGTATTTTTAAAAATCCTCTCGTCATTTTTGAGAGATTAATGTGTTAAATAAGCCTACCAAATTTTACCCAAATCCATTAAAACCTGTTAAAGATATCGTGTTCACAAAAACTATCCACACACACATACACACACACACACACACACACACATACACACACACATACATACATCCGGACAATTGATCAGGATCTCATATAACATGTTTCTATATAGAGGAAAATTTGTTTTCACCATTTTTAAAAAGTTTATAAACGAAAGGACTACATAGCTTCCTCCACGAGGAAGCAAAATGAAATTTTCTTGATCCTTTTCGTTCATAATATTAAATTAAAATAAAATTATTTTTTTAGAAATTGATTAAAAATAATGAAAATTTATTAATTCTCCCAGAAAAGTATAACTAATGTATAATTATACATTTTTTTGAATAAATGTGATCATTTATTTATTGTAATAAATTTTAAATTTAATTTTAAAAAATTAATATTTAATATCAATTCCTTATTTAGTATTATTACTAAATTATTATTATTAAATATTATTATTAAATAATAATACTGTTAGAGCTAAAAATTGCATCAAATTTTTTGATTCCCCGTGTTAAAATAGTGTTCAAAAAGTGTTCAAAAGTAAAAAAAATTTAAAATTTTTTTTCAAGAAATCGAATGTTTTATTTCGAGTTTTCTCAGATTAAAATAGAAAAAAAGCACATTCATGATTGTTTTTGCAATTGCTTATTTAGATATTTTATTTCCTGGTTCCCCGTAATTGAAGAGTGTCGAAAAAAGATAAATTTCTTTTTAAAAAAGTTAATTTTTATTTCAAACTTTAGCATATTGAAAATCGAAGATTTAATTTTTAGACATTATTTTCCTTCATACCGATTCTGATCTTTTAGTTTTAGGTTCCCTGTGTTGCAAAAAACAATAATCAAATTGCGGTTTTTTAATTTTTAATCTGAAAAAAACTTGAAATAGAAAATTCAGTTTAAAAATAAAATTTAAAATTTGTGTTTTTCACTTTCTTATAACTGTTTCAACACAGAGAATCAAAAGATAAAAGTTCTAAATCAGCACAAGTAAAAAGAATCATAAGTTTGCAATTTTTAATAATAATTTAATATAATATTTAATATTAATGATATTAAATATTAATTATTATTTGTGACCTAGACAGTGAAAAGGGGGCTTATGTTCAAAAAAAAAAAAATTTTTATTGATTGGCGATTCTGATAGAAGTTTTCTCTATCAGAATCACCAATCAATAAAAAATCGATTTTTTTTGCACGAAGGCCCTTTTTCACTGTCCAGTTCACATTCGATAATATTTAATAATAATTTTTATAATAATCTGAGAAAACACGAAATAAAAAATTCAATTAAAAAAATATTTTCAAATTTGTCTATTTTACTTTTTTAACATGGGGAATCAGAAAATAAAAGACCTCAATTGCAACAAGCAAAAACAATCATGAATGTGCTTTATTTGTATTTTAATCTGAGAAAACTCGAAATGAAATTTCTATTTCTTTTTAATTTTAAATTCGTCTTTTTTACTTTTTTAATACTGTTTCAACACGTGTATTTTAAAAATAAAAGAATTAAATCAGCACAAGCAAAAAAAATTATCAAATTGCGATTTTTTGATTTTTAATCTAAAGAAACTCGAAATAAAAAGTTCAATTTTTTTAAACAAAAAAATATAATTTGTCTTTTTTACTTTTTCGACATTAATAGAACACTGCATTTTGAAAATAAACGTCCTGGATCAGCACGAGCAAAACAATTTCTAAAAATTGAATTTTCGATTTTAAATATGCGAAAACTGAAAACAAAAAATTCAATTTTTGAAAAAATTGGATTTTTTGATTTTTACTTTTTTGACATTGTTACAAAAACATTGTATACGGAAAAAAATTAATAACAATAATTTTATTAATAATAATATTCTTAAGTAGTAGTATAATTTAATTATATTATTAATAATATAATTTTATTTTCAGTTATCTTATTTAATTTCAAAACTTCGCTCGTCGAAGTGATATTTTAGGTTATGTCTGTATAATGTCATTTGAATTGGCGAATTGAACATTATAGTTTTTTTTTATTTTAAATTGAAGAATAAAATAGTTGTATTAATTACACTGTTTCGGATATTATTCAAAAAAATTCATTAAATTTCGAGTTGATGAACTTCAGCCATCATTTGTATAACTTGAGCAAATTTTGTGCATCAAAAAATAAGACCGTTTCGTGCATCAATTCTAAAAATGATGCACAAAACGGTCTTATTTTAATACAACTTTTGTGATCAAAATGTTGCATAAAAAATGAGACATCCAAGTTTAATGTGTGTATAATTATACAATTTTCTGAAAATCGAATAATTTATTATTTTTTTGGTAAAAATAATTAATCAGAATTAAACTATGTCGAATTAAATGAGTTAAAATTAAAAATAATAATTAATTATAATAAACGTAAAGTCGACATTTTCTCAAAAAACTTTATAATTATACAATTGTGATGAAAAATGAATTTTTTTTAATCGGCTAAGAAACTATTGTTTATGTCAATAATTTTTAATTTTAAATGAATTATTATATCCTAGTAACACTTAATTAGAAAAATTAATTATAATGTTTATTTCAGATGTACAGCGCTGTAGTTGCAAATAGACCTCAACAGCCGGTTAATCAACCAGCGCAACAAAATTTACTGCAACAAGGTCTACCGCCACCGGAACAGCAAGAATAATTGATGCAACAAAATCTGCTGCAACAGGGTCAGATCCAGCAGGTTCCGCCACAGCAGGATTCACGAATCCAACCTAGGCAAATGTTGCAACCAAATCAGCTTCAACAAGGCCGAAATCAACACTTTCCGCCGCTGCCAGATTCACAAATCGATCCTACTCAACTGTTGCAATCCAATCAATTGCAACAGGGCCAGATTCAACACGTTCCACAACCGCAGGATTCACGAATCCAGTCAAGCCAACTGTTGCAACCGAGTCAGCTGCAACAGGGGCAGATTCATCAGGTTCCGCCACCGCAGGATTCACGAATCCAGTCAAGCCATCTGTTGGAACTGAATCAGCTGCAGCAACACCAAATTTTGCAGGTTTCCCCATCGCAAGATTTACAAATCCAGCCTAGACATCAATCTCAATCGTACCAGGACCAAATCCAACATGTTCCGCCACCACAGGTTTCACAAATTCACCTTGGCCAAATGTTACAACCGAATTCGCTGCAGCAGGTTTCACCGGTGCAACAGAATCAAGTGCTGCATCAGAATTCAACAATGATGCAGAGTCAATTGCCGCAACAAAATATGCTGCAAATGCAATATTATTATCAAGAATCGCATCAAAACCTTTCAAATCCACAGAAATCATCAAAACAGCCATAACTGCAAGAGAAGTCTCAGCAGTCAGAAAACGTAAGTTGACTAAAAACATGCATATAAAATTTAAGACAAAAAGTTTTTTTAACAAAACAGCTGACAATTTTTTAAAAATTCTTTCTACTTTTTTTAAAATTACTATTTCTTAATTCTGTCTTTTGACTTTAGTTATGTTTTTGATGTCCCTTTTGGTAAATTAAAATTTTTTGAAGATATTGAAAATTAAGAAAATTGCGGCCCTTTTTCAAAAATTAAAGAATTTAATTATTTTATTTTTTTTAAAAAAGTTTTTTTTTAATTTTTTGTGCTTACTAGATAGAATGCAAAATTTTTTCAATAAATTTGATATCTGCAAAAAAGTCTCAAGGGTCGCTAGTTTTTTCTGAAAATAACAAAAGTTTTTATTTTGATTAGGGTAACGACTTTATTTGTATAAACAATATGTTTTTTATTTTTAGTGGTATTTTTTTAATGCTATTTCTTTATCAATTTTAATTTCGAGTATTTAAATTTATAAATATTTTTTTTAGGATTCTGAAATTGAGAAATTGAGGGCTGTCATTGAAAAAGAACGCAAAGAAAGATGGGGCTTAGAAGACAGGGTGACAATCCATTATATTTCGACTGAAGTCGTCGTTGACTAATTTTTAAAAATTATAATACTTTGCAGGAATGATTTTGAAGTTATCAAGATCACGAAATGAAAAGAATTTTATTAAAATTTTAATTATTTATTGCAAAATATGAATTTAAAGTTTATGAGATGCTGAAAACTGTCAATTTTTTAGCCATTAGAAAATATGCAAAAAAAACAGAATTTACTATAAAAATAACAAAAAATTGTAATTTACTAAGAATGAATAAATTTATCATTATCAATTGATATAATTATTTAAATATGTGAAATAATATATAAAATATGATTTTCAAGTTCGCCTGTCAAATAACCTAAATTTGCAAATTTCATCTATTAAATGTGAGAAAGAGAAGTCATTAAATTGAAAAAAACCTTACCAAATATAAAGTACCTGTGACTAACTTTTAGTTTTTCTTAGCACTTTTTTCCTTTTTTCTTCATAAACGTGAAATAAAAAGCAATAAAAATTGGCACTTTGCTTATTTTCACTATTTTCAAATGTAAATAACTTTCTTGGAGAAAACTGAAAAATTACAAAACTTGGGCAATATCTAATTGATCACTAAATACACACACTGGAAAAAAATTCGCTTTGGTCCCGAAGATACTTTTTGAGATAATTAAGTTTAAACTTTTCACAATTTTTATCAGGTTAATACATGTAGTTTTTTAAGGACGAAGTTAGGTTTTATTGGTTAAACATTTTGAACTAACTTCAATTTTATAAAAATCACATGCATTAACCTGATAAAAATTGTGAAAAATTTAAACATAATTATCTCAAAAAGTATCTTCGGGACCAAAGCGAATTTTTTTCCAGTGTGTGTAGTTAGTGATCAATTAGATATTGCCCAAGTTTTGTAATTTTTCAGTTTTCTCCAAGAAAGTTATTTACATTTGAAAATAGTGAAAATAAGCAAAGTGCCAATTTTTATTGCTTTTTATTTCACATTTATGAAGAAAAAAGGAAAAAAGTGCTAAGAAAAACTAAAAGTTAGTCACAGGTACTTTATATTTGGTAAGGTTTTTTTCAATTTAACCCTCACAGCAAAAAGATATCAATAGGATATCCATAAGATATCAGACTTGGACATAGGATATCTTGAAAAAGTCCCATGGATATCCCATGGATATCTAAAGATATCCTTGAGATATCTATAAGATATCCAAACCGCCGCAGAGTAGGATATTTAAAAGATATCTCATGGATATCTCGGGTTATCTTGTGGATATCTCGGGGATATCTTATGGATATCTCGGGGATATCTTATGGATATTTCAAGGATATCTTGTGGATATCTTAGGAATATTTTATGGATACCTCAGGGATATCGTAAGAAAATTCCAGAGATGTATTATGAATATCCACAAAGGATTATAATTGTCAACCTAAGAAATTGTGGAATATTTATAAAAAATTACGTTTTCGTGGAATATTCACAAATCATTCCATTGCAATATTCCATTGTAATATTTGATGAAATCGACGGGTGTTACGAAGAAAAACACTCCTAAAATTCCTTTGTACGAAAACTAACACTCCCGATTTTTAAATTCAAAAACGAATTTTTAATTCCAAAAATTAATTTGATTATATTTAATTTTTAATTTAATATAACAACACTAACGAAAAGCTCCGAAAAACCCTCTTTTGCGTGAAGAAAATTTAAGATAAAAACTTAATTTTTGGTTATATTTTCTTTGAGAGTGTTTTTTTTTCGTTCCGAAGTTCAACTGTATTAGTTTTCGTAACTGAATTGATGTATAATTTATTTGTCTTCTCATTTATGATAAATTTCAAAAAGCAGCATTTGTAAACGACTGAATTTTAATTATTACGAATTTCTAGAATAACGAAATTTATCGAGAAATAAAATTCAGTAGTAGAAAGTTTTGTTACGTGTAATTATTATTTTGTTTAATTTTTAGGTCAACGAATTTTTCTTTAACAGAATTTTCATTTAACAGAGTTTTCCTTTAGACATTATTTAAAAGAATTCTTATTTATCTGAATTTTAATTCAACGAAACTGTTATTTGACAAAATTTTAAATGTGTCTAATATTTAAATGTTAGAATTTACATTTCAATTCTAACATTTAATGTTTCGACTCACTTAAAACTTTGGCAAATAAAAGTTTAGTTAAATCAAATTTCAGATAAATAAGAATTCTTTAAAATAGTAATTTGTTTAATGAGAAATTCTGTTAAATGGAAATTCTGTTTAAAAAAATTCGTTGACCTAAAAATTATACTAAATAATAATTACAAGTAACAAAATTTTTTGCTAATAATCATTAAAATTTAGTCATTTACAAATTCTGCTGCTTTTAATTTATCGCAAATAATAAGTCATACAAATAATCATGCAACCCATTATTTTTAACTAATTCTATTTCAAAGAGTAGAAACCTGTGGATGTTTTTCTTGTGACAGAGAAGTCTTATAGATGAGGAAGAAAAATAACTTTAAATATTTCCAAAAGCAATATTTTAGACCGTAAAGCTTAAAACTAAAGAAAGATAAAATAATTATTTCCAAGGTTAAAATTCATTCTATACAAGTAACACTCAATGTTTTCCAGATTTTTAATAATAACTCATTTCCGCGATCCTCGAAATTGTCGATTTCGTCCCAAAAGTTGAGACAAAACCACCAATCATGTTTTTTTAAATTGAACATATAGTAAAATGTTAAATAACAATTTTTCTCTTAATTAAAATTTTACTCGATTTCGATTTTTTCCTCTTGTAACTTCAAAGTATGATGCTTCTGTAATTGGAATAGCTAATCAAAACGAAGCAACAAAAAGTCATTGAACACTGATTAAAACATAACAAAATATATTGAAAATCACTCAAAATTGACTAAATTAATTAATCGCACAATATAAGTTGAAAAATTTTTTATAATAAAGAAACGATCTAAAAAAGAGAAAAATTCGTGGTTTGGCATACTGGTAGATATTTAGAAAAAATACAAAACATCCAAAATATATAAGAAATCGACTATTAAAAACTATTACATTAACAAGACTGTAATGAATAAAAAGGAACATTCGTTTTAGATTTAATTTTATTAAAGTATCTAAAATTCAATTACGCATACACGAAAAGAATTGTTTTGAAAATAAATCTAAATATGTTTACTTTGAAAATTTTTTGTAAAAATTTGAAAATCCACTTTTATTTAATGAAACATTAAGCGTTAACAATGACATACAACACTTGAAATAAAGATTTTATTCTTAAACTGAAATTTACACACCTTTTAATGTAAATCGTTAAATCATAATGTTTATAAGAATGTCATATTTTTCTTATTCGTGGTTATATTTTGTGAAATGTGATAATCAATTTCACTTAAAATATAATAATGCAATTTGTTCATTCAAAAATATGAAATATTATTTAAAGTAAATAAACTGCAAGTTTCTTTAATCGAATTATTTTTTATTAAATAAGACGCAGATATTAAGACGTAGATATATTTAAATTAACAATAACAAAAGGCAACAAATGATGCAGGAGTATGTAATTTACTAAACGGAAAACTTAATTCTGATTTTTGAGAACGAATAATAAAAATGCCCTTTTTACAGAGTAAAATAATAACAATCTTTTCTTCTTATAACTCTGCCAGTGTTTAGATTACATTAAACAGCTTCAAATTCTAAATTTTTTAAATGCAAAATGTAATAATAAACTTTAAATCACCGCAAAAGGTGTAACATTAACATGAATTTCAAAAAATATATATTTCAAAAAATAATATATTTCAGTTTATATTAATTCATAATACTTTTTCTTAGTAAAAAAAGATTTGCTTTCAAACAAGAAAAAACGTAACATCAAATTATCTTCGAAGTTGAATTAGAACAATTTAAATAAGATTTAAAATTCTCAATATTTACATTCGTGACAAGGGTCGGCGAGTAATATTGAATGCCAAAGTGCAAGTCTAAGAAACTTGTCTTGGTATTAAGAATCGACAGAGGGTTGATTTAACAAAATTTAAATTCAGAAAATTTGATTGTGTATCAACTTAGTTGCTAAATGAAATGTTATATTTTAAATTTACTTCAACAATTTTTAATATTTTTTTTTTTGAGGCAAGGGCCGATGATAAATATTAAATGACAAAATTCAATTCAAAACAATTTGATTTGACGTTAAAAATCAGAAGAAATCAGATTGATAAGAAATTATTGGCAACACGAATCAGTCTTTTCTATTACTAAAATCTAAATTAATCAGTATGCAACAATGAAGACACTACATACTCACTTCTATTTAACGGGATTATCATGAACTTCCTTTTTACTTTCTTCAAAGGCCACATTTTTAAATTTGATAAATCACTGACTATGAACTCGTTTAGAAACGATGATTCACATGGTTTGGAATATAAATTGCGAATAGTTTGAAATTTTTTTCCGATGACAACTGTTTCATTGGAATCTGCATGATGAGCAATATTCGAAATCAAAATAATATCTTCGTTTGATAGACCGAAGCAACTGTCACGTACTTTTAAAACATCTAATCTAAATCCTCTAATAGTTAATTCATGATATTCAGGCGAAGAACATCCTTCAAGTAAAGGGCCGTTGCAATGCTGCGAGTTCTCATTGATTTTAATTTCATTCACTTGTGACTTCGTAAGTTTCGCACTGTTTTTCTTAAATTCAGCATACCTTCGTACCAATTGTTCCAAAGGTTTCTCTCCCTTCCTCATCCACTTCTTAAGGTATTGCAGATAATTCTCAAAATCAAATGCACTGAAGTTATCAAGACAACCTCTTTTTCTAACATCATCAACTAAATGCAGCAACCCGTGCATATTGTAGGAAACGCTAAAACTACCATATAAAATGGTCAGGCACTTTACAAAATATGACAATAATTCATTCGCGTAATTCAAATAATTCGGCATTTTCACTAACTTCTTTGAGCATAAAATTCGCATAGCAACATGAAGAGTGTTGAAATGCGTATACAATTTTTGGGGTAAAATTCCTTTAAAAACGATACTGCCAGTGTATAAGACAAATTGTCGATATTCAGTCGCTTTCAATATTTTAGATCCTTTAAAGATCGAGGTTTCCTGGAAAATTCTTGCGGAATATATTTTCTCAATTTAAGTAAACGTGACGAAATTTTGATTATTTGCCATTTTCTCAACCGAGATGACGTACGAATAACCATCAAAAAGTTAATCAATCTTCTCATACAACCTAAACACACCAAATGCATGTAATCATAAGGAATATCGCCAATAAGATTAAAATTTGGAATCCGACGTAGACAACAGTAACCCATTTGGTGTTTTCTATGCATTAGATATCGAATGTTAGCATCAGTTCTTTTTCTGTGAAATTTGCCTGTGTGAGGAAAACACACTCGGTTTCTTCTCCATTTACCTCGTATAACACATTTTGTACAGCTGTGAAATCCTGTGTGACCTTTAACATTCAAAAGAAACGATTTAGCGGGAGCATCGCAGATTATACAATCAATTTTGCAGATCAAAACTTTTTCTTTAAACTTAAAGCCATTAGTACTTAAATCTTCAACTTCTGTAATAAAATCTTCTAAAAATTCTTCTTCATGGGTCGGTTTTTCATGTCCGTAATAAACGCCAATTAGGAAAATGTCTGAAAATGGATCTATTGAAGCTAAAATTGGCCAAAATTGAGCTCTAGAGGAATTTGCTAGTGGAACACCGTCAATGCCTACTTTTAGTTTAATATTTGATAATGGCTTGTTGTCATATTTAGTAAGTATTTCCTCAATTCCAGTGCTGAGACCAAAGTGATAATATACCCCTGGGTGAACCGTTTTTATAACTGCTTTTCCCTTAGGAGTACCTAGCAATGTTCTTGGGTCTTTGGGTATTTGCTGATGAAAACAATTATGTTCTTTTAATTTGTGTAATAATGGTGTTAATTGAGAATGAGTTATTCTGTTGTCTGTGGCCCATGTTGCTAGAAACGAATTAATATTTTCAGGATCCTTTTCCGCTTTACAGTGTCCTGTATAAATTTCGTTCATATCAATTTCAGATTTCATATCAGATTCAGTAACGTTTGACACATTTCCAGAAGAAATAGATACAGAAGCTAATGATTCTAGTTCCACATCATTATCATTCAGCGACAGATGGTTTACATCATTTGCCATTGGATTTAGAAGGTTATTCCCTTGAAATGCATTTTGAGTACCCATAGAAAATAAATTTTCGATTTCTGTTGAAAGTAAATTTTGTTCATCCGTTGAGTCTGTTAAAGTTGCATGCAGGAAAGAATGATGAAGCATAGACTGGGTAATTCGTTGTCGAAATTGACGAACTGACAAATCATTAAGCCTTTTCCTCTTCATTATTTCACTTTAACCTGGAAAATAATTTTTGATTTTAGGTAGACCAGCAAGAATCCGGATGAAATAATGAAAATGTAATGATAAATTTTTAGTATGTAATTTAGAAAAAAATGTTGATGTTTATAAAATTATTCCCTGCAAAAATATTATCAGGATACAACAAACATTTCTGATAAAATTAAAAAATGAAACGTGTCAAAAATGAAATGTAGTCAAAATATGACTACATGAAGAGGAGATTCCGCTTCTCAGTGAAAAAAATTAATTTTTTTCTTAAATCTGTCCCTAAGCTATAAGAGAATGTGGACATAAAGAGTAAGAGTAACCCATGGTAGCGTTTTGAAACTAGGCCATGAGTGCAAATATAGCAAACATATATCTGCAACTCTCTCAAACTTATGGCCTAGTTACAAAACGCTGCCATGGGAGTTTAGTCTAAAAGGATAATTCGAAGCGTTTTCAAAGATACATCGTTAAACTCTTCTCAATCACCTACGATGGTATTTTGAGGAGAGAAATCCATCTTGTATGGAACTGAAGATTACTGGTGAGTAAGAATTCCTGAACGAAGGCCCTAAATTTTTTTGGGCCATATATGATTTTAAATATTAATGAATTTTCAAAATCCTGGTCCACACGAAAACTACACATTCAAGGAACATGCTGTCTAAAATTCAAGTTAATTGGGTAAAAATTATTAAAATGGGAGTGTGACAAACTTTAAATGAGGACCACCTTTGGCAGACATTTTTTAAGACGCCATTTTGAAAAAAAGAAATTATATTATTTTCGATTACTTTAAGACATTCATTTTCGCATAAAAAAATGTTAAGTAACAAATATTTTTTTTACTATAAAAAAAATCTCTGAAAAAATATCAAAACCAGTGGAATCTCCCCTTAATGACATTCTTTAAATTTTGTGTTAATTTTATAATTAACCTTGTGTATATTATTTCTATTTATGTAACCGCATATTATTAAATGAGTATATTTTTATTATTATTTTCATTCTGATAATTTTATATGTATTGGATAGTTACTCCATCTCTTCATAAATCCATCAGAAAAGTTTGTTGTAATTGAAATTTTAGTTGTGATTATGTACTTAATAAGTTGACAGTATACACTTTAAAATATTCAAACTTCTGTTATATCATTGTTCTTTTGACTAAAATTTGTAAGTACTGATAATGTGCTCACGTTCATAAATATCATTAAACTGGAATGTCATTGCAGATAACAGAAAAAAGAGGAAAAGGATAAATTTACTTATCTCTAATTTTAAAAAGAAAAACATCTTAGTTTGATATTTAAGCAATGTAAATTTAACTTTCATTTTTATTGTAAGTAAATATTTCCTCAAAATATCCCGCAAATTAGTTTTTTTTATTAAAACTTGACGATTCTTTAAAAAATTAAACAATAAAATGTTATAATATTTATTGGTTTTGCACAAAATGCATGTAAATAATAAAACTTTGATTTACATTTTTTAAACTTACAGATGGTCAATTTTAAGCAGTTTGGTCTTATTTTATAGATAAAAAGTTGTAGAATACTCAAGTAAATTTTCAAAAACATCTGACGAAAACGAATATGACTCGAACATCAACATGTTAATTTTCGGACCATATTCAAAGGGGCTGTGTATACAAATTACGTAAGGGTTATTTTCGGAAATTTTAACCCCCCCCATGTAAAAATCTTTGCATACATTAGCGCCATTTTTATGCCGGTCATAAAGATTAGCTGAACCCCTCCGCCTTAGAGTCTTACGTAATTTGTACACGGCCTCAAACTGCATTTTTCTCACAGCTACACCGAATTTAAACCATACTCAAATGATAAAAGAAAATATAGCAGAAATTTGATTATGAAAATATAAATAGGAATTTATAGGAATAAGGATAGTTGACCAGACCCCTTAGTTTAATGTTATAATTCTCAGTATACAATAAATTAAAATATATTGCATTATTTCATTGTGTTTCAAACCTTATTTGATATTTGGAAAACAATTAAAAGAATCTATACAATAATTAATTGAGAGCTACGTTAGGTTGTCCCTATCAGATTAATTAAGGGTATGTCCAAGTTATGAAATGTAAACAAATCAAACACTAAAATCACCATTTTTTCACGAGGTCTCATTTCCACAAAAATAAAATTTTAAAAATTTTTTTCTACGAAAATCGTAAATTAAAGCATTAAAGTTGGTAACTACACGAAATTTGACCGCAAGCATTATAAACATATATTAGAATAATTGAATAAAATGAACAATGAAACCGCATTTTTCATGCATTACAAAAATTTAACTGTTTGACTATATCAGAAGCACGGACCGTGAGAACTAAGTGGGAGGTAGGATTCGAGCGATTGGTCGGTCACAGTTGGGAAAGGGCAACCGAGGAAGAAATTTCCCCTTCCCAACTGTGACCGTCCAATCGCTCGAATCCTACCTCCCACTTAGTTCTCGGTAGAAAAAATTAAAAAAATTTAATTTTTGTGGAAATGAGACCTCGTGAAAAAATGGTAATTTTAGTGTTTGATTTGTTTACATTCCCATTGTTTATATTTCACAACATTGACTTTCCCTTAAAGTTTTCAAAGTATACCTTGAGTCATGCTTTGCCTGGCTACTCTTGTGTCCCACATATTACTTATGGCTGATGGAGTAATCAATAATGCCAGCAAGTGTTTCACTCTAATCAATTTCTAATCTTATTGTAAAATATTTCTTGTTTTCATAGAACTTGATTATTTATTTCTACGTGACGTGAGCAGTAAAAAGGGATCTTACTCGGAAACTTTTCGAGCTGGAGTTATACGTATCGGTTAAGTAACCGATATAGACTGCAATACGATTACATTCCTAATCTAAAAACTCTCCAGGTACAATTTTCAAGCTAATGCAATTGTTATTTATATTCTGCTGAGTGTGTTAAATCCAGTTGGTTAAATACGCTATTTAAAATTTTGAAAAACTGATGTCGGTACTATTCACGGTCCATGTCACATGAACTACTTTCATAGTGAAAAGAGTAGATATTTTTGAATATCTTTAGGGCATCCAAATGCTGTCCAAATTTACAGAAGCTGGTGTGTATTTTTAGGATATTTACACTAAATTATAAAATATAGGGACTGTAAAAGATTATAAATGCATCTGCTTGCTGACATTTTTGATAAATAATTTGAAATAATTTATGTGTAATAACGCTATAGACTTGAAAGAGATAAGTATTTACGTGAATTAATCAATATCTTCATCGACAGTTTCGTTACTATTTTCGAGATTGCTGCCATTCTCATTACTTTTAGGGACATTATTTTCGACCTCGTCACTCTGTTCTTCATGATCTTCTAATTGTTCTTCATCACTTTCAAGGAGATAATCGTTTTCTGCATTAGAAGTTGCATTAAGGTTTGATCTATTATTCTCAGCAACAAAACGCTGTGGTGCATGACGCAACCAATCTTTAATTTTTTGAATAATGGAGCTCTCCGTCCAATTCTTATTTTCCTGCAGGGACTCTAAAAAATAGTTATATTTTTGTGCCAATTTCTATCTGATTTTTATATAACATTTATACCTCTATAACCATTGCGTAGTATAAGTAGACAGATCTCCTGTATAGTTTTCTGTTCAGTTTTTAATGGAGGAATTAATGTTTCATGAACACATGATTTTGCTTATCTCACACGGAAAAGTAAGACAAATATAAAATTAAGTCTTTGGTTGTTGGGTGTAATTTCATGCTAAATATATATCAGAGAAGATACACGGAGAGATCCATAGAAGGACGTTTTGTAAAACATCACTCTATATTTTACTATTTTTGCTTTGCAAGCATCGAAAATAAGGGCCTTTTATATTATTTACTATTTTCGGTAATAATATACAAATCCGCAACAGATTACTAAGTGTTTTGTGATAAAATCTAAAAGTATTACATTTATTTCAAAAATTTTTTGAAAAATTTGTTAAATCCTGTAGTAAAACGCAGTTAGGCCATCACTTGTAGCCAAATACTGCTTCTAATAAGAAACTTGTACAAGATACTTATTATCTGTTAATGATGACTACAATATTTCCAAATAACTATAGTTTTAGAAAGGCTGCCGACGCAAAATTAATAGTCCTTTGTAATTCTACTGCCAGTTAGAAATAGAAAAGGGAGAAAAAATATATATGCATTTGTTGAAATTTCCTTACTCACCAACAAAAGTAAGCACACTCACAACACTTAAACACCAATTAGTTTATATATATTGTATAATACAACTTGAGACACACATATTATATATACACGTCGGACGGGTTTACAAGTTAATTTTTATATCTAACCTAAAATATATTATTCGCATACGAAGTCTATACATTTTACTACCCACGATTTTCCTACACAAAATTTCAAAAATGGCCACTTTAATAAGAATTAATTCTTATTGAAATAAATAAATTCTTTAATCTCTTTAGTAGTATACGGAAAAATCCCCTTATTTCCAATGCTTACAAAGCGAAAATATTAAATTCTCGTCTAATTTTAGTACATATTACCACCATGTGGCTCTCCGTGTAGTACACCTCCATGTATACTTTCCCTTAAAATTAACTCAACTTAATGTTAATAACAAATCAATCTTTTTTGAAAAAAATTTAAAACAAAAAATGTAATCTCAATTTGTCAATTATTCGTTCTTAAAATTTCAGTTTACAAATATTTTCCCTTGTAGAGGCGCTTAGTAATACGAGCATGATTGTTTCCAAAAAATTGTGAGCATTTCGAAAACAGGCAGATCCGTCTCCTCATACTACTACATTTTGCCAATAAGCTCATTAAAACACACAAAAAGTCTGCATGTTATTGTACACGGAGAAAATGAATTGAATAAAATTTAGCCAAAAGTTGAGGAAAACGGTTACACATGGTCATTTTAATAATATTTAGAATAATTTGTCTATTTATTGAAATTCAGTTTTCAAAGAGTGTTCAAAAAGTTGACTAAAGAATAAAACTGATGTTAGGCTAAAGTATTATATCCATTTGTTCAGAAAATGATTAATTTTTTGTGAAACTTTATACTCTATTTGAGTACGTATCCGCCTGCGTGTTTCACTTTAAAAATGTTCCAATTTTATTTTAATTTCGTAAAAATTTATTTTGCTCTATAGTTGGTGAAATTTTGTTAAAATGCCCATGTGTAACCGTTTTACTCAACTTTTTGGGTAAACTTTGTACAAATCGTTTTCTCCGTGTAACTATGCACTTATAGTAAATCCTAACCTAATGATAATAATAAAGATTCCTTATCATTTGAACTATGATCTCTGGAATAATTCAACAAATCCTAGCTCTGTAAAAAGAACCTATATATTTCCTAGACAAATTAATCATGACATTTTGAAACTTTTAAAATTGCACAGGCACCTGCTTCTGTTTTGAGGAAATTTATCTATATTTTTTGAATTTTATTCGCGTTTACTTTTTGTTCATAAAATGGGATTTTTGATTATTATTTAAAACTTACTGTTCTCTTTTAACCCAACGAAACAGGTTGACTGCGTTTTAGAAATAGAGCTACTGAATTTTATTAGTCAATTCCTTCAGATTTTTTAGGTTAGCTTCCAGTCTAAACTTGCACATACATTGTGCTTCAATTCTTTCGTATTTTTTTTAATGAGATAATGAGTATTTGTTGGAAAATCTCAAATAATTAGGATATAGGGTAAATCTAATACAGCTATCATACCCGAAAGCAACGAATATTTCAGGATATTCTATGGACGTCTTTGTCATATCGGGAAATTAGGATATGTCAAATATCTTTGGACATCCCTGGAACATCCTACAGATATCATACTTTCTGGATATCCTTAGGACTCCCGTAAGATATCATGAATATCCTCTTGTTAGGTGTTGACTATTTGTCATGGTAACATTAACAGGGTAGGTGGCGCTTTTCTCTATCCAAAAAACTAAAACAAACGATTTTATTTAACTAAATAGAATATTAAAAAACACAAGAAACTTAGAAAATTATAAATTAGGTATTGCTTTGATCCTGCATTAGATAAAAGCAAAAGAAAACTCCAAAAATTTGCAAAAAGCGAAAAGATTGTAAAAAAAGTTTTTTAACACCGACGATTTGTTTGGTATTTTAAAATAACACATTTATTTAGAGTACTCTTTATATTGCACCCAACCGAATGCTCTACAATGTCCTCAAATATTTTCTTTTCAATGAATTTAATATTTTTTCAAGTCACGAAAAAACGAAAATGTCGTTTCCAAATCTACTTTGATAGCATTCGAATATTCAGAATATCGTATGGCTGTCCAAGGGATAAGAAATGGTCCGGAGAAATTAGGATATTACTAAGGAAACATCTAAAAAATCCCAGGAAGATGCACAATAAGGCCACATTGAAGTACATGAACATAATTTGCTACCATTTGTTACCAATGGGTTGGTCGGTAAAGCCAGTGCACTACATTTCCCTTTTCTAATTTACTCATAAAATATTTTTTTCAATTTTACTTTTAAAAACTTATGTTTTGAACTATTATTTGGTCAACTGGAATGGGAATTTGATATTTTAAGTTGTCTAAGGTGAGGAATTGAAAAGCTACAGATTTATCGCAATTATTGTCATTATTAAAACAACATTTAAAACTGTACAACTTACCCATAAGGACTTTGGTTACTTGTAACGAAGAGAATGTGTATTTTCCTTTACATCCCAACCAACTAAATTGAGCTGCAACTTCATTGCAGAATACTTTTCGCAAAATTGAAAAGACAGCATCCTTTACATTTTTTCCTCCTATTTTCTTAAGATAAGAAAGCTGGAAAAATGCATGAATTTATTAAATTTATCGTTATTACTGAATATATGTAACACGTCGCGAAAAAAGAGACCTAAGAAATCTTAAAGGTTATGTTTGTTATAATTTAAGTAAAAATGCATGTGAGTTAATTCTCACTTAAAACTAATTATATTTAAGCCTTCATTAAATTCAAAAGATTAAAAATTAATAATTTTTCATTGTAAAAATTGAAAAAGAATCGTTTACTTAAGGTAAGAAGATATATGAAACATAGCCTATAAGATTTAGCTTCTTAGATCGCTGATATTGCCACGCTTCACCTATTACTATTTATCCCCTGAAATGAAGTCTCTTACTTTTGATACAATATATAAGAGTAGAATATGCATTCAATTTAGAGGAATTTGCATCAAATAAAGATTATTTTCTTAGAGTGTTCTTCCCATAATTTTCCAAGTTCTATGGGAGCTATTTTCTTAATAATTGATTTTACGACAGTAAATTAGCCGACTGTTTTTTAACCAAAATCGGTTTATTCGTTTCCTAGTGCTACGAAAAATTGAGAAACATCTCTTCTATTTTATTTATTTTACTTTTTATTTCGTTTATACACCTGTCCTCAGCCTTACATACTTGGCTACACAAGTGTTTCTATATCGTACTATTTCTTTATACAAATTCTCTATACACAATCTTATTATTAAATTTGCGTCTTCCGCACGACTTGAAATTAGGAGTACTCGCATTTGCCTGCACCACCCGTTGAATGGCTTTTCTCGCCAGAAAAGAGGGAAACTGTTCAAAAACTTTCCTAAGTATAACCGGTTTATCAACAACCGAATTCTAATGGTGTGTACTGGACAATAATCGACAGTGCACATCATTATACCTCGATGTCAATCTAAAACGTATGCAACTGGTATTTATAATTTTCGCGACTTATACAATATTTTTTTCCATTAATCAGTCTCTCCTAGCCACACTACTGATTTGTATGTTCAATTAAAAGAACCACAATTATTTCATAAATTCGTGTTTCAATTCTTTCTCTGAGCATCCCGAATTATCTCCACCAACAAAAAATAGTAAATTCTTGAATTTAGATTAAGTATATATTGAAACCTGCCTAAACCAATGATATAGCTCGGGCGGCGGAATACAGTGGTTTGCGATCGGGGAGGTTAAGCAACTTTTAGTGCGATTAGCACTTGGATGGATGACCTCTGTGGCCCTCTGGTGTTTTTCGCTGCGATCGAGATATATCAAGCGAGAGGTTTGACGTCGAGGCTATGTTTGTGCATTTGTGATGGACTATCCAAATGTACTCTCATGACTCGACAGTCAATAAACCGGTTGTACTCTGGAATAGGTTTTCTACAGTTTTCCTCTCCCCTGGCCGAATGTCCAGGCAAATGCGAGTACTCCCAATTCAAGTAGGCCTGGAGCCGCAAAAGTAGGAACTTTAGAAGTGTTTGTGAGTTTAGAAAGAAAGGTAAATTAAGATATGAGGAGATTGTAAAAACCGAAAGGTATACAATGAAATCTTACTTTACTTCAATAAAACCTGCCTTTTAAAATATAAAACACTTTACTTACAACATCCTGATGAAACTCCTCTGCATTGAGATTTGTTTCAAAATCAGCTAATTCGCCGAGATCTTTAAGTGGAAGCATTGTTTTAATTTTCATCATCCTATCCGAATTCAATGTTCCTGTTCCATTACCATTTCTTTCTTGTATTAAATTTTTAATCTCATTTCTATCTTTCTCAGAATCGTCAAGACGTTCAATAAAAGTTGCTAATTGAAATTTAATTTCGGTCAAGGTCCTTATTACAGACTTACGAAAAAGTCGATCTGTAATGACACAATATTTAAACAAATATATTAAAGATATAAGTCGCTCTCTAGTTTCATAATAGTATATTTACTTATAATAAGTGAAATTTCCTAATAGTCGCCTATTTTAAAACTTTAATGTTTAGCTCATTTCGTTCTGTGATTAAATTCTTTTATGATATACAGAAAGTTTTTTTTCAACTCAAATGAGTATTAAAATCTGAACATTTAACAATTTGTCGGACAGCCCCGGACAAGTGTAAAAATATTTCATATTTTAATAATTTGAGACTACACGGAAAAATAGTACAACTGAAACTGAGAATTTTTTTGCCACAACACCTAAATATTTCGTCAAAAATGGACAAGCGATACTTGTTAATTATTTTTTCGTTCTGTGCGTCATGTCCCTGCGTTTATACTGTGTCGCTGTCAGTTATGTCACGTGACAAAATTTTTTTTACTATACAGACATGAATTTCGCTCTTTTTCATGCGTCCGTAGCGGGGCAGAAATCGCATTTTTTTTATTGATCAAGAGTAGATCAAGAGTAGACTCAAGATTTCAAAATCTTTAAAGTAATTACTAATCCAATTTAAAAAAAATTCGTTACCTTCAATGTTTTGGTTTTCAAAAAACTGTTGTTGTGTTGCAATGTTTTGATCTGAACCATGTGTTTGCATCTGCTCATTGGCCTTTGCTATTGGAATGTTGGCAATTGATACCATCTCGGAGGGTGATGAAATATTTTCCTTATTTAATTTATTTGAATCAGTAAAAATATGTGAGATTTTATTATTCATATTGGATCTCTGACTAGAAGTTGGATAGAATATTTTGTTTGTAGACTTTGTTTGCAATGGTGAAACAATTTTTGCAGAAGCGTTTCCAGGAAATGAATTCTTAAACATCGGTGAGGTAGCGGAAATAGTCGATTTTAGCGAATTTAATGACCAATTTTTTACAAAGCTTCTTGGATCTCTCCTGTTTTGCGAATATAAAGGTAATGAAACCTTTTCACATTTCAAAATTGAAGGACTTTTTAATTTTTTTGGCTGAATTAATTGTGGACATGAAGGTAAATTATTCTTTTTGCCTTCGTCAATACTTGAAACTTTGAAAGGCGTAAGTGACTTGCTTTTTAATTCTTTCTTTTTTAAAATTTGTTTATATTCAAAATCGCTCTCAGAATGTGTCTTTAATTTCTTAAATTTTCTATTAGATTTAGCATCAGGGTCTGTACTGATTTCAGAATCATTTTCATACGATTTTAACTTGTCCATCGCTCTTTTAAAAGTATCTATAATGAAAAATAATATCAAATAATAATGTTAACACTTATGAACAAAATATATTTTTATGAAAATATTTAATTTATTCGAAATCCACGAAAGTCAAATTATGTTATGGTTTTAAGAATTGTATATTATGATTTAGATTCATAATGAAAAGCAACAATTTTGAATGCATGTTTCAAAATGTTAAACATTCAGTTTTATAAAATACTGGGTTCAAATACTGTAACAAATGTCCGGCTCAATGATAAATTACTAAAAACTGACAGAAAACTTAATTATTGCATTGATTTTTAAGAGAATGATTTTTGAAAAGGAATTGTAAGAACGGTTATTATATGAGTGCAAATTATCATAAATAGAAAAATTAAATGTGACGCGCTTTAAAAAAAGGTACCTGAAAAGCAAAAATTTCATGTTCAGTTTGTGATTTTTGAAATCAAAATACACAAGGATCTCTTGTTGAGATAATCTCTTGTTAAACCACTGATGTTTAAGACTGAATTACATCTAAAATAATTGATAAAAACTTATTTCGGGTTTAACACCGACAAACAGAAACTTTTAATTAAGGTGAAAATGACACAAACATAACCATAAAATGATTTTCTTCTTAGGTACCTTTCATTGGAGCACATCAAAAATTAAAATTGAGAAATTAAATAAAGTTTTTTATGATTTTAAATGAAGAAATAACTGCGAAGTGGAACCACTTTAATAATTTTATGTATACTTAATAAACACTGTGTTTCTTCATAAATATTACAGGTTAAATTTTATTAATTCCTATCAATTTGTGCTATTTTCAACAACAAAATTGATAAAACACAATCATCAATATCATTCATTTCGGCTAATAATAGTTTAAGGTCAATTCTTTCGACTTTAGGATAGCATTATCATCTTCCTTATAAGCAAACTCAAAATTTGTGATTAAAAATTATTTGTTTATATTTCTAAATTTTTACCTGATTCTTTTCCCATGTTTCACTACACTTAAATTTGAATTAAAAATGTCAAAATTAACGTTTTAAAATTCTTTGAAAACGCAAAAATTGATTTATTTATGAATATTTTTGGAACTATTGTTAAAAAGATATTTTTTTAAAATTAAAAATTTTGAAAATCAGTGAAGTCATAAGTATCGATTTTTTCATGCACAATAAATAAAAGAGAATCTTGTTCATAATATAATCAAAAGTCTATTATACTTTGGTCTTAAGAACCTTTATTATAATGCACAAACACGGTTCAATATCCCTAATTTCTCTGACAATTTGGCACAGTTTTTTGTTGGAATTTTTTATAATTAACATTTAAACAAATATGAACATACGAATCATTTTAAATTAAATTAACCAGATACTTTCAGAAATAAGTATCCTTATTTTGAATCATAGCCAAGGAGCACTGATTCTAAGAAATAATATAATAAATCGTTTAAAAATTAAAATACAATTTTGATTATCAAGGGGAATTTCTGGTTAAGAATTTTAAAAAATTCATAGAAGGTATCTTTTGGATGACGCCACCTACAGCTGTGAAAATTAACTAAAAATACTAAAAAAAAATTTCATTTCTCTTCTTGTACTATGTAATAATGTTTAGAACGAATTTTTGCATTAACTATAATTCATTTTTTACAATAAGAATTTAAAATAGTGCGTTTTTTTTATCAATTTTGCACTAGAAAGTCCCCTTAACGCTACGAAGAAGCATAATGTTCATGAAATAAACACAATAATGTTAAAGTAGTACTACTTGGCAGTGGCTTTTAATCTTCAGAGTCACTGCAGGGTCTTTAACATCCTGTCCTACAGCTTCAATCTGAGTTTTGAAAAGTGAACAGGATCACAGACACCTTGACTGTGTTTCGTGTTCAAAAAAGAGAGGTGAACTCGGAGGGTTATTATAAGTAAATAACAGATCCATTTACTTGCAGAACTTATTTCTGATATAAAATCAATTTCTGTCCATTTCGAAGTTGGTTCAATTTCGGACTCTACGGCTTTGTAGTAAGCGGTCATATTCGTAATATTAGGCCAGAAGACACTTTTTCCGCTATCAGAAATCCAGATCCGAGGAACAACTTGTGGTCCATCATCAAAATCCAACACCAAAAATTTATTTCCATCGATAGGAGAGGACATTTTCCGTACACTAGGAGAAGAGACATGTTGATGTAACGACAAGTTATAGTTAATTCGAACATAAGCGACACCTGTAGCTAATATATAATAAATTTTTCTCAGAAATTAGTCTACAAATTCTAAAGTAAACTCTAAAATTTTCTAAAAATTTAGGTTTACTGAAAATTAAATTTTATTTAAAGTTGTACAATTATATTTCTTATCAATAAAAATTTAATTTTTCGCCTTTATAGAGAAGAAACTGCAGGAAGTAAATAATTTAAAAATTCAAAATGGGTGGTTTGGTTTCTTCATTTAGTCTTAAGTACAACTGCTTCGCGAATATCGTTCGCGAACGCAAAGCATCAGATAGAAGAGGATGAAGATATGTGAGTATCTTTTTCTATCTCATGAATTTCGTTCGCGAATGACTTTCGAGAACTTATTGTGCGTTGGCTTTTTAATGTTGTAACAGATAGGTAATGAGGATTTTAAATTAAACTTTTCTTGATTATATAATGATGTTAAATTTGTCTGGAGCCGGCACTTATTTTTTTTAAATTTTTGGTCCCTTTTCTCAACAGTTATGGGACACAGATTCATGCGCAAGACGTCAGTAAAAAAATATCTTGGTTTTTCGGCAACAATGTGACCGATTCAATATACATAAAATACTTATTAAATTCAGGGTAATCATAAAAATTTGATTATGTATTTTCCTGATCTTCAGAAAAAATTGCTTTTTTTTCTTATCCAGATAACTTTAATTCTGAATTTTTAAAATATTAAATTTTCCAAATTTTCAGTTAATATTCATCATAAAATACGATTATATTTCAAAATAATTTATAAAAGTAAAAAAAATTATTTTGAAATATGAAATTTTTCTTTTTTTCTGCAATTTAGTCATTTTTAAAAAGTACAACTGCATTTTTTTCAAAATTAAATTACTTTTTAGAATTTTTAATCACAATTGTTCAAATCTTTTATCATTTTTTAAATTAAATGTTTAAATATTTTTATACTTTTATAGCAATTCAAATTTTCAAAGATTTCAGTTCCAAAACCTTTTCAAATTTAATTATTTCTGAAAATTCTTGCTAAAAAGCTTTTAATAATCAATTATTTTCTTAACTTCCAGCAGTAATTAGATTTAAAACATTTCTTATCAGATAGTTTTAGAAACGCAGTTTAGGTAAAATTTCCAAACTTTTCTTATTTCGTTGTTCTGTGAGAACCCTGTTATTGTCAAAATTCATAAAAATTTTAAAAAATCTAATTTGAAAACAATTTTGCAGAAATCATATAAAAATATTTTTTATCCTAATAGAGTAAAAAGTTGAGATATTATTTTTCAAGAAATATGTTAAAAATTTATAGATAAAACAAATTAACTTGTAAATTAATTAATGTTTTTTAATTTTTATCAAAATGTAGTTTTTTGTTAGCAGTTAGAAGCTATATTTTAAATCCAAGAAATCTAAACCGCTTAACATTTGATTAGATTAATTTGGAATAATAAACTTACATTCAGTGACAAAACTTTTAAATGATAATGAAGCAAGATGAATAGGTTATTCCTGGATAAATACTTATTTTCAAAAAATTTCAATTTTTAGTTGCACTATTAGCGAGTTAAAAGAAGTGGAAAATCTCAAAAAAATTTGCTGACTTTCAATGAACGATGCAAATTAATAAATACGAAGCAATATTCAGAAATATCAAACAAACAAATTCAAAATTCAAACAAATTCTCAACAAATCTTCAAATATAAACAAATTATAATCGCTATATTTCTTCATGTGAAACAAACGAAAAAATAGATACATTTGCTTAAATTAAATCTGTAATAATCAATGACTCAAAAGCTAATAATTTTTTTATTTAAATTTCGAAAATAATGTAAAAATATTTATCATTTTACAGAGTTTCACAAAGAAATGTAAAATGTTATTAAATCAATTAGAAGGATAAATATTACTAAGCGAATTAAATAATTTTAAAAACATGAAAATACATACCTGACAGTTCACAATTTGCTTCCTCTCGATGTTTCCAGAATCACCCTTCTTCTTCTTAAATTAGTCTCTTCGAGAGAATCACCCAAAACTAAACTAAATTCAACTTTTTTAAATTAACGAAGTGCAGAAGCGTCTTCCAGATTACATGAAATGTGCGTCACTTTTTCATTTGTTTTCATTTCTTCTTGTTTAGGCTTAATTCACAACATATAAGTTGGCCTTTATGTTCTCACTGCTCGTCGGGATGCATACACTTGCCTCAAAATGAAAAGAGCATAATGACTGTTATGTCGAATTTACAATTGTAGATTGTCTATTTGTACGAATTTTTGTTTATGGAATGTTAATTTAATCGAAAGACTAATTGTTTAAATCCACATTTTATAGAAAAACTACATTTTGAAACGTTTATTTCATAGAAACGCCAAAACGAATTCTTTTGCTTGTGTGCTGTGCATACACACGTAAAGTTAACTCACGCAAGCAAAAAATTCGAATTTTTGAGCTTTCTTATGGTTGGGGACGCGATCAAATCAAAATTCGAACTTTTCGTATTTCTGTCAAATAGATTTTTCTACCTTTTAAATTTGCGATATGACTGAATAGTCATCTTTTCAATATCTTTACAATAGGTTCGCGAAAGTCGTTCGCGAACGAGGTGCTTGTGATAGAAAAGGACACACATATATCTCTGTCCTTTTCTAACTCATGCTTTGCGTTCGCGAAGTAGTTGTGCTTAGGCCTAATGAAGCGGTCACACGTCACCTGCAGGAGCAGTTGCCCATGGCAACCGTGTAAGAGTAAGAGAGATAGAAGATTTGCCATCTCTCTTAC